ATCACAATTAAGGCCATTAAAACAGGTCCGATTTCTAGGATTTATTATAGATTCAGAAGCAATGGGAATGGTACTTCCTCAGGACAAATGCGACACAATAATAACGAAGTGTAGATCAGTTTCTGAAATTAGCGTTACATCAATTCAAAGGGTTGCCGAATTGGAAGGCAGTTTAGTTGCAGCGTCACCTGCGACGAAGTACGGAATGTTGTACACAAGACAATTGGAGATCGAGAAGTCAAAGGCTTTAGTTATTAGTGGGGTAGATATAGTGGTCAAATTATTCTCTCGCCTATAGCTAAAATGGATATTCAATGGTGGATTGGTAATATAAAATCCGAATATCGTTCATTATCCCAATTCAAACCAACCAGGGTGATCTTTTCTGATTCATCTCCACTTGGATGGGGTGCAGTTTGCAATGGTCAAGAAGCCAGGGGTAATTTCTCACCTGAAGACCAACTTCTTCATATTAATGTCCTTGAATTGATGGCAGTATTTTATGGAATTAATTCATTTGCCAAAAATGCATTAAATGACAACATTCACCTTCGTGTTGACAGTTCGACAGCAATGGCATATGTTAATAATTTCGGAGGGTGTAGGTCTGAAGAGTTGCATAATGTTGCCAAAAAGATTTGGACCTGGTGTGAGGAGCGAAACATTATTTTGCATGCTACATACATCAACACAAAAGATAATGTTGATGCCGATAGGCTCTCGAGAATGAAAGTTGATTTTTCAGATTTTTCGTTAACAAAGTCGTATTTTGAAAAAATTTGCATGAAATTTTGGAGCCCAAATGTTGATCTATTTGCAACATATCAAACTAGACAGTGTGAGCGTTATTTTTCGTGGAAACCAGATCCATTTGCATTAGGTGAGGATGCATTCACATTTAAGTGGGAGTCAAAGTTTTACGCTTTTCCTCCTTTTAATTTAATTGGAAGGGTCATTAATAAGATAATTGAAGATCGGGTAGAAGGAATAATGGTAGTTCCGAATTGGTCCACCCAACCTTGGTATCCGATGTTTAAGAATTTAATAAAATCAGAAATTATTTATCTCGGTCCAAGTAAAAAATTGCTGTTTAATCCTATTTCCAGAGCTTATCATCAAATCAACAAGAATTTGCAATTGATGGCAGCAGTATTATCCGGGGGTCGATGTCAGGATTAAATTTACCCGAAAGAACTTTATCAATTTTGAAAGAATCTAAATCTAGTGGAACGTGGCGTCAGTACGAATCGTCATGGAAAAAGTGGAGTTTATTTTGTGTTACGAATGGTTGGTCAGAATGGGAATCAAATGTCAGACATTGTTTGTATTCTTAACTCATTTATTTGATAGTGGATTAAGTTATTCGGCAATTAACTCTAGCAGATCAGCCTTGTCGTCGTTATTAGAAAATGTGGATGGCTCTGCACTAGGTCAGCATAAATTGGTGGTAAATTTTATGAAAGGCGTTGGTCGCCTTCGTCCACCAGCTCAGCGTTACTCTTCTGTTTGCAATCCTGATACTGTACTTTCTTATTTAGTTACATATGACATTAATAGTTGTAGTTTTCAACAATTAACTTTAAAAACAATTGCATTATTGGCTCTAGCTACAGGGCAACGTGTTCAAACTCTTGTATCGATTAAGATAAATGATATTATTTCGGGTAACCCTATTCAAATAAGATTAACAAGTATTTTAAAAAACACTTCTTTAAGTAATCCAAATCCCGTTCTAATTTTACCGTATTTTGAGAACAAGCAAATCTGTCCAGCCCTAGCTTTAAGTAAGTATGTTAGTGAGACACAGAAGCTTAGATTGTCAGACCAATTATTCATAGCCACTACTAAACCCTTTAAACCAATTTCCTCACAAACTGTCAGTCGCTGGCTAGTTAATGTTTTACATTTATCTGGGGTTGACATTAATAAGTTTAGTGCACATAGTTTCCGTCACTCCTCTACATCCAAAGCCTCACAACTCGGCGTAAATGTGGATACAATTTTAAAACGAGTTGGATGGAGTGCTAAATCTAAAGTATTCGCAAAATTTTACAAGCGACCTATTGATAATAGTAGTGAATTTGTCGAGAAAGTTTTGTCATTAGTGGACTAATTTTAAAGCGTATTGGTGTCATTACTGAATTTGTCATTCTATGCAATCTTATTTCCCTCATCGACGCTACTTTAAAGTCTACCAACTATTCATTGTGATGTCGAAGGTGTAGGAAGATGAAATAAAATTGGAAATTTTGTGAGCCCGGCGAAGCCGGGTGAAACAAAATTGTAATTTTGTGATATCTTCCGGAACCGCAAGACATCACAACCCTCCAACCCACCCCCAGTATTCGAGCGTCGATTCGGCTTTAAAACTATGAGGCGCATATTGGTGGTGGTGGTGCATGCATGGCATCAGTTTTTATTCTGCGGCAGCTTTAAAAAGGCATAAATATCGTGTTTCCCCAGTCTCTGGCTCAACAACTACCAACTATTCATTGTGATGTCTTCCGGTTCCGGAAGATATCACAAAATTACAATTTTGTTTCACCCGGCTTCGCCGGGCTCACAAAATTTCCAATTATGACACGCTCTTGATCTCCTTATTTGATATGTAATTTTCACAAAAATTGCACAATTTACACAATTATTTTTGTCATAAAAATTTAAGGAAAATTGTCGCGAGTTACTAAATTTCAAAAAATTGTCACGCTAAAATCCAGTCTTAAATACCTAGTTTGTCGTATTGACGATTATAATTATTGCCAAGATAAGTTTTGCATCTCGATACAAAAATTGTGGAAACAAAAATTTACGATACGTTAAGACACAGTAATTTAAACCTCAATGTAATGTGTAATGGGACCTTAGTGAAAACTGTAGATAGGGAGCGTCCATAAATCACGTGATCGATTTTTGGACAATTTTGACCCCCTCCCCCCCCTTGGTGACCAATGGTGATAAGTTCATTACCCCCCCCCCCCCGCGGTCACGTGACAGGATACACATTAAACCTAAAGTACTGTAAAACGCATGAAACCTATTTCTCTCCAAGTGTGATTTTTTGTGGCGAATTTTTTTTCGCAAAAAGTTTTTTCACCAAACTGACCTATTTCCGACAGGACAACACATGGCACAAATTAATCCAATAATAATATTCCTGGGCCTTTTTAAATCCGCAGTTAAATTCAATTTTAAAATTATTGAAAGAATTATTTAATACTAAAGAGTAAGTATAGTAAGTAATTTAAAATTCATGACATCTTAAGGACAACTGTATACACTTATTATCTGAGAGAATAATGAGAGTTCTATGAATGTGCAATGAAATTTGGTAGAGTGGTATACATATCTAAACCAGACCCAAGATTGTCAATAAAAATTTAAAAACACGCCGTATTACGAATTTAAGATAAAAAGAGGTTAACGATTAAGTAAATACATATTATGTATCAAGTTTATATACATCCAAAATTAAAAGAAAAACTTTTCGTGGTATGTCACGTGACTGCCGACCATTACCCCCCCCCCCTTGGTGATAGAACGTGACAAATTTCAGCCCCCTCCCCCCCCTATGATCGATCACGTGATTTATGGACGCTCCCATAGTAAATTTATTTAAAAAATTGTCACGCCACGTCACGTTAAAAATCCAATTTTCAATATTTTGCCGGATCGGTAATTATACATCATAGATGAAACCTTCGAGGACGCGGATTATTCGTGTTAACTAATTTGAAAAACTATATGACTCAAAATTACCTTTTTTCACTTTTCCAAAAAATATTTTTTGCAAAATTGTGACGTGATTGAGAATTGTGGCGTCGTTTTGCAAAGTTTTCTAAAAACCGAGAAATAACTGAAATAAGACGTGGTTCTTTTAGGTATTAATTCAAATTTTTGATTAGAAGTACGTCATGGGAAATGTGCTAACTAATTTTCAAATAATATTGTTTATCAAAAAAAATTGGGGAAGGTTATAAATTGTGGCATCGTTTTACAAGCTTTTACAAGAATTTTTGAATATTTGCAAGAATTTGGCATTCCTTATAAATTTGGGGTTAGTTTTGGGTATCAATTTGCATTTTTAGGTAGAAAATATATTCCACGAAATGTCCTAACTAATTTGCAAAGAATGTTTCTTGCCAATTTTTTTTGGCGATGGTTACGAATTGTAGCGTCGTTTTCCAAGACTTTGGTGTACCTTGTAAATTTGTGTTTTTTTTAGGTACTACATATGCATTATAGATTGGTCGCCTGTCGTCGAGTATTCGTGTTAAATAATTTGAAAAACTATGACATGTTTTTTTTCACTTTTCCAAAATAATTTTTTGGAAAATTGTGAGTTGACTCTTTGGCCAAATTTTTTGGAAGATTGTTAATCAGTTTGTAACGTTTTGCAAGAACTTTTAAATCTGCAAGACTTTGATGTCTGTACAAATTTATGTTTGTTTTTGCAATTTTATTGTATTGTAGATGTCCTGCTGTTGATGTGTGTGGGTAGTTAAATACTTTTCAAAAATATAACAAAAATTGAATTTTTTTATTTTTATTTTTTGATATTGCACAAACTGAAATACTTTGATGCCCCTTGTGAAAAATTTGTGATACATTTCAGTATTGCAAAATGTGCTTAAAATTTTGCAAAAATATTTTTTTAGGATGCTGAAGGGGGAGGGGGTCATTTTGCAAGGTTTTGGAAGAATTTTGAAAATATGTGCGACCTTCGTATTATTATTAATTCGACAAAATTGATCAATTTTCTGTCCTGTCGAAAGTTGCAAAAAATTTGCAAATTTCATACATATTTCTTGTCCGATGAAGTTTTACAAGATTTTCCGTAAATTTTGAAAATCTGCGAGACTTTGGCGTCACTAATAAATTATTGTGTTCTATTAATATTAATTATACAATTATAGATGGGACGTAAGCGAATTATTAAATAATTTGCAAAAATATGACAAAAATCGCATTATTTTAGCATTTTTAATTATATAAACTGCCCTTCTAAATACAAATGGAGGAGTACAAATTGAGAATTAGGAAGGTTACAAGTGTGGCGTGAGGAATGGAGGTGGGGGTGGCCGCACTTCCGGCATCCTTCTCCCCGGTCAGGCTGAGATACGCTTTTTTGCCAAACTTGTGAGGCATGATTTGCTTGGCAGAGTGGTACGAAACGTTCTTCCCGACCGTCATTAGCACGTGGTACTAATTTTAATGCAAAAATTAATGCGAATTTATAAGGTAAAATTTTGAGATTTGAGAAATTACATATTTAAATATGTACCTCATTGTCGACCAGGTTCACGTTCACGTCCCGAGTTGTGTTGAAGGACCCCTGAAATTTTGGTGCAAAAAATTAGAAAACTGTGTAAACTATATTTTTTCAGAAAGTTGAAAATGTAAAGTGCCAAAAAAAGTTTTGTTTTCAAATTTAATCTATCTGTAGAATTAAAAGATTCCAAAAAATAATGTGAAATATGTACAAATTATTCATATAAAATTTATCCCAATTTATAACATTTTTCGATTTTATCCTTTTTTGAAAATTCATTTTGTAAATTGCAAAATGTTGAAAAACTATGTAAAATATGTACCAATTATTTATGCAAAATCAAGCAATTTGTGGCATTTTTCTATTTTATAGAGTTACGAAGTTTGGAAGAAAACTTTATTTTATAGAATTAAGTGATTGCAAAATATTTTCGACAAACTTGTGCAAATTCTTTCTAAAAAATATCACAATTCTTCTATTTTTCTATTTCATACAATTAAAAAGTTGCAAAAATGTCCCTTCCTTCCATTAAAAAGTTTGCAAAAATGTCTCAAATACAAAATTTGTCAATTTCTATCCAATCTCTTTCCTGATGCACTTTAAAATTTGCAAAAATGTTCCATGGGCTCCTTTTATTTGCAAAATTTTGCCAATTTTTTTTACCTGATGCACTTTAAACTTTGAGGGCATAATCCACTCGCAATATCTTTTCATTTCTCCGGCCTGTTCTTTGAAGGTGACGATTTTGACGAGGTTCTCCTCCAGTCCTTTGTAGGAGCCCTTGAGGGTCGTGTGGTTGAGGTGGACCTGCGTCCAGACGAAGGGCTCCATCTCGCCGCAGTAAAAGCCGATGTCGTCCAGCAAAAAGTGATCCGTCGTAAAGCCGAAGCTTCCCCAGTGCCAATTCTCAACCACCATCCGAACCCGAATTTCCGTAAAGTTCTTCTCAAACTGAAAATATAAAAATTCGTTTTTTTTCAGAAAATTTAGGCTAAATAAATACTTCACGCGGGTTTTTGTAACTGTGTAAACATGCACAAGTGGGGAAAGTCTCATTTCCGTGGAGTTGTTTTCAAACTGCAAATATATTTTTTATCGCTATTTTTTTCAGAACGTTGAGCTAAATACTTCACGCGGATATTTGTAACTTTGTAAACTTGTATAATTTATGTGGAAGTAACGGAAATTTGAACCCTTAAACCTCGGAAAGTTCTTCTCAAACTGCAAAATACAAAAAAAATCATAATTTTTTTTCAGAAAACTGATTTAAATATTTCACGCTGATTTTTGTGACTTTGTAAACATTTACAGCTTACAAGTGTCGGAACTTCCGTAGAATTTTTTTTCAAACTGCAAATACAATTTAAACAAAAAAACACTTTTTTTCAGAAAATTTAAAGATAAATTCTTCCCACGGATTTTTGTAACTTTGTAAAATTGCACAATAGAAGCACAGTTTGCAAATATCGGAATGTATCATTTCCTTCGAATTGTTTTCAAACTGTAAACACATTTAAAAAAAGTTTTTTCTTGAGAAAATTGAGCTAAATACTTTACGCGGATTTTTGTAACTTTGTAGAGATGCACAGTTTACAAGGAAAGTCTCCATTTCCGTAGAATTGTTTTCAAACTACAAATACATTTCAAGCAAACAAAATCACAATATTTTTCCGAAAATTGATCTAAATACTTCACGCGAATGTTTGTAACTTTGCAAAAACTTGCACAGTTTACAAGTATCTGAAACCCGAAGTTCTTTTCAGGCTGCAAATACATTTATTTATTATTAAACAAAAACAAATTCTTCAGAAAATTGAGCCACTTCAATTCTACAACTTCACGCAGATGTTTGTAACTTTGTAAAATTCATATTGCTACAAATATCGGAGTGAAATTCGACATAATAATTTAATGAAAACTGTCACTTATAAAAAAGTAATTTTTAAATTGTCGCGTTAAAAATCCGATCGGAATTATTTTGTCGTGTTAATAATTCAATTATTAGATAAATAGATTGCTTTCGAGGTGTTCATAAATTATATAAATAAAAAATTTGGACATTAATTTTACAAAAAATTGCATAGTTTACAAGTATAATAATTTACTGTAAAAAATCGTCACGTTAAAACCCCAATCTTATTTTTTTACAATTTTAATAATCCAATTAGTGCATACAGATTCCTGTCTTCATTTCATCACTTGATTTGCAAATTTTGCAAAAACTGCAAATACACAATTTGCACATCTCCTCCACCTGCTTAGTTGATACACAATTTAACAAAAATTGTACACTTTACGGAATGAAGTTAGTCACAATAATTTAAAGAAAACTGTAAATTAATTTTTAAAAATTGTCGCGTTAAAAATCCGATCGTAATTATTTTGTCATGTCGATAATTCAATTAGTCCGTAGATATTTGAGTTGTTCAAAATTTGTTCAAAATAATAATAAAAATTACGACAAAAAAATTACAAAAAATTACGACAAGTTCTTCTTGACCTGCTTATATGATACATCATTTTGCAAAAAATTATACAGTTTACAAGTTTACAACTGTCGCCATTAGACTACTAATCTACATAATTAGTGAATAGTTGTTTTGGCGGAGATTTGCATTATTTTGTGCAAATTAAACGTTTCGAAACGCTCTCGACCTTGATCTCCATTACAAAACTTTGCACAGTTTACACGTATCGGGGTTAAGTTCGCTGTAATAATAATTTAATGAAAACTGTAATTAATTGTTAAAAAATTCTCACATTAAAACTCCGATTTTAATTATTTTGAAATATTAGTAGTCTAATTACTGAAGAGGTACACATTTTTGGAGGTGTCATTAAGCGAACATTGTGCAAACAAAAGACAACGTCTTGACTTGCCCATTTGATACATCGTTTTACAAAAATTGCACAGTTTGCAAATTTCGGAGTGAAATAATATTATGAAAACTGTTGGCAAATCGAATTTTCAAAAATTGTCAAGTTAAAATTCCGATTTTAATTATTTTATAATATTGGTAATCGAATTATTACCATACCTGTTCACTTTCATTCGTGTGACTGATTATGATAGAGAATGATGGTGAATGAAAATGAATTTCCTGCGATTTGAATGAAAATGAGTGAAAACTTCCATCATTTCAGATGAATGACTGTGAATGAAAGATTTCTCACTCATTCATTTTTCACCCTATACTTAATACATGGGGCGAAGTGAGAAATGAAGTCGGATGATGTGAAATGAAATGAATTTGAAAGATAATGACTGAGTGTGAATGAACATCTTCAGTCTGAAATCGGGATGACTGAATTTTGAATGAAAATCGTTCTTTCGAACAGGTATGATTATTACACAGGTATTTTAAAACGTGGTGTTTCGTTTGTAAAGTGTGTAAATAAAGGTCTTGAGTGACCTGCTTATTTGATACATCGTTATACAAAAGTTGCACAGTTTACAAAATTTGCACCGTAATAATAATTTAATTAATACTGTCGCCAGTAAGTTAATTAAGAATTTTCTTCACACCTTTTTAGAATTAAAGTAGATTATTCCTTTTTCAAATTTTGACATTTTAAAATATTTTGAAAAATGTGTCATGAAAACGTCAGTAATTGAAATTTTGATTTTTATGCGATTTACAATTAAAATAGATCATGTCTGATGAAATTTCAATACTTATTTTTTTTAATTACTCAAACGTCGGTATTGAAATTTAGAATTTTCTTTATACGTTTTTTAATTAAAGTAGATCAAAATCGTTATTTTTGTTTTTGCAATATCGAAAAAAATTGCTACGTTAAAAATCCGATCTTAATTATTTTTGTCGCATTAGCAATTTAATCATGTGATTCAAAAGTTGCGCAGTTAACAAAAGTTACAAAGTTTACGAAAGGTACACAGGTCACAAAACTTGCCCAGTTTACAAAACTTGCAAAATTATTCGCCGCAATAATAACTTAATAGAAACTGTCGCCAGTAAGGAAATTAAAGTTTAAAAATTGTCCCGTTAAAAACCCGATCTCAATTATGTCTCCGCAGGAACAATTTAATTCTATGATAGATTTTTCGGTCGGGTTACTAAAAAAATTGCGTAATTAATTAGAACATGCTGTATTGATTGACCTGATTATTTTCCTTCATAATCTTTCCCCAGGTTGCAAATATTTGTGTAAATAATTGTTCTTACCGTGAAATTGATAAGAACGGTGCATTCTTCCCTCTCTACTCGCACAGTTTACAAAAGTTCCACAGTTTACAAAACTCGCAATAAGTAAATTAAATTTTAGAAAATTGTCACGTTGAAAATCCGATGTTAATTATTTGTGTCGCAGTAACAATTTAATCAAGTGACAGATATTTTGGTCGAGCTTGATAAACTGTGTAATTACTTAATTAGAACATGTTCAATGAACATGTAATCACTTAATTAGAACATGTTCTATGTTAGAACATTAATTATTATTTGCATTCATAATTTTTCCCCAGATTTTACTAGATTACAAATACTTGCGTAAATAATAATTGTTCTTACCGCAAAATTGATAAGAACGGTGCACTCTTCCCTCTCGACTCGCCAACATTTGAGGTCATGGTCCATCAAATAACAGACGGCTCGCTCACCCCGACAAGTCTCGAACACCGGGTCCCAGTACGCTTGGTGCAGCACGTCGTCGTTTAAAAGGCGTTGCCAATGGGGAAAAATAGTGTTTCAGGTGAAAGTAAGTAACCACTTGCAAGAAATAACGGGGAGAAATGTGGTTTCTTGTAGGTAAATATTGCGACCTGCAAGAAATCCAAGGCCCAAGAAATGACGCCCCGCCGCTATAAATACTTCGGCACGTGGCTGGATGGCGTACATTTTTGGTACATTTCTTACAGTTTCTTGCACCTCGCATTTCCCTCGTTTTTTGGTATGCAGTGCAAGAAAGAACGGCAAGAAACAGGTTTTTTGTAGGTATTTTGACCCGCAAGAAATGCAAGGCGCAAGAAACCACGCCCCGCCGCGCATACTTCATACGGCGCGTGGCTGGATGGCGCATGCGTATTTCTTACACCTCGCATTTCTTGCATTGCTTACTTTGCCGTGCAAGAAATGTATGTAGTTAGCAAAACCGCAAGAAACGAAGCACTGAAACGTAGCAAATATTTTTTGCATAGTTACCTCTCGTGCCACGTGTGATTCGCAACTTCTCGATCAATCGATAACCCACTGAGATTGAGGGGTTTCTCAAACGCGTGAATTTCATAAAACGAGTCCTTCAAGTCCAGCGGAGGAGTAGGATTCATCGGCTGCCGAATAAAAAAAAATTCATGGCTTTTATTCAATGAAAATGAAAAATCTTTAAATTTTGGAATGTTAACCTCCATAAGAATTTCCAAAATTTCAAAATCCCCCTCGTTCCCCGACCGGTTGACGAAACCTTGGACCATTTTGACATAAAGGTTCTCATCCTGTGGGATGCTCAGGGCGAAAAATGGCGCCGGCGGGACGGGCAACGACGACGCCGTCGGTGGCGGGACTGTTGAATTTGTTGCAGGGATGCAGTCCATTTCTTCTTTATCCGGTCGAAATTTCGACGAATTTGGCGAATTCGTCGTCATTTCTGGCGGACAGGGTGGCAAGGTTGGTGGCACGTATTCGACAAATTCGAGATCTTCTCGTTCCACCGAGATGACGAATTCACAGACGAAATCCGTCCTAGTCAGGGGCAGGCGAGGGGGCACACTCTCCACGTAAATCCCGGGCCCGGACGAGTTAAAGACTGTAATTAAGCAATTAATTAGTTTTTGGTTATCATGAGTAGAGGGCGGATATGTATTTATTTTGAACTTTTTCATTCGATGACGACCCACGGTCAAACTTTGGCTGTGTTCCATAACTCGCATAGATTATAAAAGTTTCAAAATTTTTTACCTATTTCACGTCACATATTTCTAGATTTTCAGGAATATAGATAAATATTTCCGCTATTATTTGAAAAATATGTTAATCTTTTGACGTTTTTTTGTTATACATAAATACGGATTTTAGCGATTTTTCGTAAATACATATCCATCCTGTGTCCATGTAAGTATGAAAAATTGTCATATGTAAATTTACCTACCAGCATTTTACTGATCACGAGTGCATATTTCTCCAGGAGACAAATTTTAAGAAAATTCTTATTTTTATCGTAAATATTTCGTAAATATTAAGGTGTTTTTTATAAATATTTCAATATTTCCTACACAAATACATACCCGCCCTCTGGTTATCATCGAAAACTGCACAAGTTATTAATTAATGTCACCCATATTTTGGTGTGGATGTTTCGCATGCGCCCCATACTTGAGGACTTTAACTTTTCCCTTCTTCGTCCACGCCGTGATGTGGGGGTCGTCCGCGGTGCAGATGTAAAACACGTCGCTGGATTCTGGCGTGACCTGATTTCCCGCCGAAGTTGAATTGGGCGGCTTCTTTGTGGACAGGGAGACGCCCACGTACTCCAGCATGAAGCACTTCTTCCGTGAATGGGTGGTCGAGCAGGTCCGTTTTTCCGGGTCCAGCAATCGAAGCATGTTGACCAGGTAGGTTTGCTTCCTGGATTAATTAAGCAATTAATTGGCTAATTAGTCAACGTAAAACTCAATAACTCAAAGCGAAATTCGTCAAAATCATCGCGAAATTCGTCAAAATCCGCACATTTTAATTATTTAGATAAGTTTACTTTCTGGATTAATTAAGCAATTAATCAACTAGCTAATTAGGTAACGTAGGACTTGACTTATTGTCAGAATCTTCAAAATTTGTACATTTTAATCATTTCTGTAAGTTTGCTTCCGGGATTAATTAACTAATTAATTAACGTATGACTCGATACCGTATCATCAAAATTAGCACATTTTGAATCATTTGTCGCCTCTGGGAATTTATTTTAAAATTCTGAACGACAAATTTGTCGAATAGGTCGTTCCCAATTTTTTACAAACATACACTCCAGATTTTGACACTTTTTGTTGGAGGAGATCTCAAGTTTAGGAAGCCTTCATAAAAATAGGAACTCGTCGAAACTGCCTCAAAAAACTCACCGCCATTCCATCAATCAACTCACCGACTGCAAATTTGTCGTCCAGAATTTTAAAATAAGTTTCCCAGAGCAGAGAAATGTTAAAAAATGTGCTGATTTTTGTGATGAGTCATTGAGTCCTGAAAATGATAATTAGCGACTAATTAGCATAAACAGACTCACTTCTTTAAGCACAAAATGCGCAAGTACGAGTCACGAATATCCTTCCCGTCACAATCAATTTCATACTTTTCGTGGTGATGAATTTGCAGGTGAAATTGGACTCCGCTTCGCACCCCGTGGGCCACGTGGCGCAGTAAACGTGCGCCTCCGACCCGTTCCTGCATTTCTCGGTCAGGTGACGTAAATCGTTCGTCTGCGTGGAGGAGCGATGAATAACCAAGAAGAGGACGAGTGACCACAGAAAAACGAACCAAAATTGAGGTGGACGTGCCATTTTTATGTAAATCAAGGTAATGATTCTGATGCCAATAATTGTTTGTTGTTTTTTACGGGTCAAAATTTTAAGCATTCAAATATTTGTTTGTAAACAAATTGTTGGCAAGTTTACACGAAATAATTTTTCAACTAGGAATTTGTCGTCCAGAATTTTAAAATAAATTCCCAGAGGCGAAAAATATTTTAAAAGTGCTGATTTTGACAATTGATTTTGGCGATATATCGCACATTTTTTATACAGAAAATATATTTCCACAAATTTCATGGTGCAAAAAAATCAATCAAGTTTTATTACATATTTTCGAATTCAAATAAATTTTGCAAACTGTTAATAAATTTGTAGCTTGCAAGTTAGTGCACGAAAAAAAAATGTGCACAACAGTCCCCACTTGCTGCAAGAAATCAATCAATTTTTATTCCATCTAAAATATTTCATTCGCTTTTGTATTTTCAAATTCGAATATGCAGATTTTGTACTTGACAAACTATTTATGAAGACAAATTTGCTGAGAGAGAAAATATCACAAAAAAAATCATCCAATCCAATCCAACGAATCCAATCCTCGCAAAATGTGTGCAAAAAAGTGGCAAAAATTCAACCTCCATTAAAATAAATATGTAAAAAATATGCAGAACACATTCCACAAATGTTATGCTGCAAGAAATCAATCAATTTTTATTCCATCTACTTTCATTTCATTCCTTTTCCAAATTCGATTAAATTTTGTGCTCGGGAAACTATGAAAATTAATTCATAACATTTCCGAGAAAGAGAGAAAATATCACAATAGAATCATCAAATCCAACTCTTTAAGCCCGGATGAACTTGAAATCAGCCTGGACACAGGAATGGACATGGTCATGATCCGCCGACCTCGTCGTCGACGCTGTCGTGCAAGTCTGCTGGGTGGTGACCCCTCCAAACGTGAATTTCGGGATGACGACGTCCTTCACCACGTTGACCCCGGTGTAGTCAGCACCTTCCTTAAAAGCGACTTGGACCTCGTCCGTGTAAAAGCCGTAGGATCCGAGCCTGACCGGGCACGTGATCTCCTTGACCCCGGTCGTGTAAATTGCGGGGCAGTGGATCGTCTGGGTCAGTCGGAAGCTGTAGAAGACCCGCCCGCTGGGGAAGATGCGGCCGGTTCGGGGCACGTGGTGTGCGCTGAGGGGGAAGGTGGACGACTCGACGCCATCAAGGAAAAAGATGTCTGGGGCCCAGAGGGATTTGCAGTCGCGGATGGGGATGTAGCTATTGAAGAAGGGAAATATTATAGTTTTTGCACAATTATTTTTGCACACTTAATTTTTGCAAGGTTTATGAATGCAAATAAGTAATGTAACTGTTGGGGGAGGGGGAGAAGTAGAAAATATATTAATTTTTTGCACACTTAATTTTGGCAAGGTTTGCATATGCAAATAAATAATTTAACTGGTGGGGGAAGAACACATCTTCGTTTTTGCACTCATGCTTATTTTTGGCACAGTTTCGCTCTAGTTTTAACCACTGTCAAAAACCACCGTTCAAAGTGGGGTTTACAAAGTTTTTGCACACCGGCTTTTGGACGTGCAAAATCGAGAATGCGGCAAAATATGACAAGTTCTTGATTATTGAACGATTCAATAATTCTTTGACGTATAAATATGTAAATTTCTATTAATTTTTTAGCATGGTTTAGAAAATTTCTCAATTTCTCTCAAGAAAACATGTTAAAACAAAATTTTTTCAAAATTTCGTGTTATCAAAATGCTCAAAATTAACGGGAGATTACATATCTTTGGCAAAACTTGTTAATAAAGAACTTGCAACATTTTGTTAAATTTTCTAACATTGAAAACTTTTGGACATTTTGGACGCCCAAAATTATTTTGGACAGTTTTGAACATGCAAAACGAGCATACATAGATTTTTGGAGCTTCATAATTTCTGTAAATTAAAATACCTGACGGTGGTGTCGTTATAGGCCAATCGTGGATCGATCCAGCTCTTTCGTGCGTACGTTTGGAAGGTGAAGAGCCCCTTGGTCTCGTCCACGTTGAGAATCTTGACATCTCGGAGTTGCACGGTGACGAAGGTGGCGTCCGTACCGTTGACCCCGTATGGACGGAGGTTTGGGTAGTAATCCTTCGTCACGATCGAGTCGTATAGCTCCTTAACTTTTACCTGGAAGAAGAAGAGCAACAGGTGTTTAAGATGATAAAATATTGACAAAAATTGAGACAAATTGGCGACAAAATCCTGACAAAACTGTGACAAAATCCTGAAAAATTCATTATAAAATCGTGACAAAATACTTACAAAATTGCGACAACATCGCGACAAAATTTTGCCCAAAATCGCAACAAAGTCGTGGCAAATTCTTCATAAAATCATTGCAAAATCCTGACAAAATCGCGACAAAAGCCTCACAAATTAATTATAAAATTTTTACGTAATACTGTGAAAATATTTTTTTAAATCGCGACAAGATCCTGACAAATTCATTATAAAATCATTACAAAATACTGACAAAATCGTGACAAAATACTGACAAAATCGTGACAAACTGACAAAATCGCGACAAAATCATAACAAATTCATTATACAGTCGCGACAAAATACTCCCCAAAATCGAAACAAAATCTCGACAAGATCTTGACAAAATACTGTCCAAAATCCTACCAAAACCTTCTCAAAACCACCCCCATCCCCTACCTGTTGCATACTGTTGACCGTTCCATGATGACCAGCAGCCGCGACGGCGACGAGGGCGAGAAGGATGATGGATTTCATTTCGGAGGCGGATTGAGATTTCGGTGGTGAGTGAGATTAAAAAGTGAGAGAGAAAGAGACAGCAAGTTATTCTGAGACAGACTAACCGACTGATTTCTCACCGAGACGCCGACCACTTTTATACCCGCTCCCACCCCGCAAAAAATCCAGTTCACTGGACGAAGAATGGCAATTTGTGGGATTTGGTGGTGGATTGGATTGGATTTATGGGCCGAGAAAAACATTTCATACGTGTCCATCCATCATCATCATCTCGATAATAATCATGGCGTGGGTTGGGCTGGGCAGAATCTTCTTCTCATTGTTTGGAGGAGGAGGTTACAACAATAAGTTGGCCATTAGGCTAGGACGTGATCTTCTCAGACACAGTGCTCCGTTTTAAAAAAAACTACTACTTTTGGACTGGAAGCAGTACATTGTCTAAAATTGCCCAAAATTGTCCCTACTTTTGGACTCCAAAAACGTCTAAAACTGTCCAATATAGTTTTGTACAAAATGTTCAAAACCGTCCAACATTGCAAAATGGGGCGAAATGTTACAAGTTCTTTATGAACCATTTTTTTGCAAATCTTTATGCACAGATAATTATACAACCTCTCATTAATTTTGAGCATTTTTGCATATGTGTAATACTACGAAATTTGGAACAATTTTTGTTTTCATACGTTCTACAGGTAGTATGGGAAATTAAGATATTTTGTAAATCATGCCGTATTATTACACAACGAAATTATGTAAAAAAAAATGCAAATTATGCAAGAACAGGAAAAAGTGCTCAAAACTAGTGGGTGATTTCATATATATTTATACGTCAACGGTTTATCAAAACATTCAATTATGAAGAACTTACAACATTTTGTCTCATTTTCCATTTCGGACACTTTTAGATTTCCAAAATTTGGACAAAATTCGAACAGTGTTTAATAAAACCACTGTGAAACCCTGGTCAGACCAACCACAACCGCAGGATACAGATTTGCGAATCCAGTCCGAATTTATGTATTTAAAACAACTCTGCTGTGCGTACATACATATAGCCAGAAGAAATGGTGATGATTACATATGTATCGCAAAAACATGAGAATATTACCGAAAATTATTGCAACCATTTTCGACTTTTATGACTGGTAGACGAGTTGTTAAGTTGTAAAATTTTTGCAAAATTTGAACCTGGATTTTATTTATGTTGCGAAAATTGCATACTATTATTATTAGCTCTGAGATGAGAACACCCATTGTTCTAGAAGATGTATGTAACGTCAAGGTGAAAGATACCCCAATCTGCAATATTGCATATTATTAACGAACCACTGATCTAAAGATGACTTTGGTTTTTGGCTGGCAACAAAGTTCAGCTCACGGGTTGAAGCCGGTTTGAAATTTAAAACATGTTATTCTTCACTTTTTTTTGTGCCCCTCGTGCAAATAATCATAAACGTCCATCAATCATCAACGTTCGATTATTATTTCTGCAATCTGATTTCTCTCTTCTCCCTGCGGGGCTATTTTTTCCAGTCGTATAAATTATCCAGCCGGTGTCCAGTACAGTACAGTGGCCGCGGAAGCCGTGGGGACATTAATCTTGCAGGATAGAGGAGGGAGGGAGAGGCTTAAATAATAATTTAATGAGCAGATGATGCCGACATCGAATACCGGTGGGGACTTCGCCACGCTTCCGCGGCCACTGGTCTAGTCCAGCACAGCAGAAGAGCTAAACCAACAAAGGAGTTGAAAGATAAAAAACGTTGAAGATGATGTGATGAGTGCAAAATAAGATGATTTCAATTATTAATAAATGTTATGCAAGATATTTGCACTGGAGAATTGGCGATGGGACGGTGTAGCACGTATTATTTTGATTGTAGGCAAGATTATGATAATGAAATGACCATGATTATGACGATGACATGACAGTGACCTTAGTTTCGGCAAGGTGACATTTTCAGAACTACTCGTATACGTATTTACATAAGTGCATACAAAAAATTAGTGGAAATTATATAGGCTAAATATAGCTTCATTTCATGTATCTACATACATAATGTGGAAGTTGTGCAAAATATATATAACTCACGACCTACTCGTATACGTACATGTATGCAACAAATTAGTGCAAATTAGGCTAAATAGCTAGATTACGTAGTTAAATAGGCTGTAGCTTCATTTCTCTGTATTACACATCATAAATAATATTTATGATGTGTACATATTATGTAAGCTGTGCAAAATGTATGTAAATAGATCAATCAATTGTTACCAATTTCTTTTTTTTGTAAGTCATCAAAACTACCTTCAACTTCGCCGAGATAGAAAATAGTTAAATACTTATCTAACCATACTTTTTCTTCTAACGAATTAAATATAACGTTCAAAATATGATAAACAAAGTAAATCTTATTTGCTCCGTTTCCCAACTAGAAATTGCTTGTTATTTAACGTGTCGTACTTATACTCAACATTGCAATAATGAATGAGGCGAAATCATGTTATTACATTACATGCATAATTTCGCGATGCAAAGATGAGATGTGCAAAAATGTGCGAAAATGAGACAAAGAATGGTGCGATTTGAACGTGAGAAAACCGGGATTGAGTCCAGTTTATTGTTCGGCTGTCTTCTTCAACTCCAAATAAAAATCAACAGGCAGTTAAATTTTAATTATTAAATATTATATTAATTTATAATGTCTATTTGAATTTGAATTTGGATAATAATATAATTTGCACTATTAACAAATTGTTTACACGGAAGTTTTAGTGAAAAAAGGAGGAAAAAAGTTTACTTTATTTGTTGATTTTTTTGATCTGGAAATTGCTGATTAATTCATTATCGAGACATATAAATGCTTAATTTTTAATTACTTTCAATTCTAATTGCTTAATTTTTTTGTGACAGGAAGTAGGACCTAATCTTTCTCGCCCTTTGCAATGGCTCATTTGAAACCTTCTTTATCTGGAAAAGCGAGACCACCCCCTTTGCCCAGTCAACTGAAGGGATCTTCCAGTAATCGATTTATGTCTGTATCCGCAATGGTCACACCCTCCATAAATAAAACGACGAGAACACCAAAGAATCCTGGTAATTTAATTACTACTTTTTAAACAAATATTAAAGTTGATTGATTCTATAATTAACTCGACGACTCATCGTCAAAATCTACACATTTTTAATCATTTCTCGCCTATAGAAATTTATTTTAAATTTCTGGACGACTAATTTGTGGAACAGCTCGTTTCCCAATTTTTTTAGAAATATACACTCCAGATTTTGACACTTTTTGAAGGAGGGGATCTCGAGTTTAAGAAACCTTCAAAAAAATTGGAACCCATCGAAACTGGCTCAAAAAACTTGACGCCATTCCATTAATCAACTTACCGACTACAAATTTGTCGTCCATAATTTTAAAATAAATTCCCAGAGACGAGAAATGATTAAAAATGTGTTGATTTTCACGATTTTGATGACAAGTCGACGTTAAAAATAAGAATCATTTTCTTGTATATTTACTTTTTGTGAATTTTTTTCTTTCCAGCCTCCGTAAGCTTATCTGTTCCAAGGTCCGTGCGAAGCAATGCTAGTCCTAGCTTACAGCAAAACAGCAATTCATCCGGGAACGCAAATTTCCAAACCCCCGGAGGATCAGCAGGACCCCAGCAGAAGAAGCAGATCACTGAAGAACAACTATTACGCAGAGAATATACTCTTTACCTTCAGGCCGGCGTGATGAACATGTTGACCAAGAAGATGGCTGAGATGAACAATAAGGTACAAAACAAGGATGGACAACGAATTTATAGCGATTTTGACCGCTCAAAATGCAGGTCTCTCAGCGTATGCGATCCGATTTTGAGCAAATTAGTGTCAATCGATCGCAAATTTAGTTAGGATGAAATTTGCAAAGGACACGATCTCCCAATGGGCACGTTTGGCAGAGATATTTGAATCCGAAGAGGAGAAAACGCACAGTAAATGTAGAAAGAGTAAAATTTATCGACTTTACCGCGCATTTTTTTCTCTCTGGATGCAAATATCTCCGCGAAACATGCTTATTGAGAGATCACGTCCTTTGCAAATGTCATATTAATTAAAATTGGCACTAATTTGCTCAAAATAGGAGAGCATACGCTGTTAATCGATTACAAATTTAATTAGGATGGAATTTGCAAATGACTCGATCTCCCAATGCGAACGTTTGACAGAGATATTTGCATCCGAGGAGGAGAAAACGCACAGTAAATTTGGAAAGTGGAAAATTTATCAACTTTTGGCCATGTTTTCTCCTCTTCGTATGCAAACATCTCTGCCAATAAGCGTGCCCATTGGGAGATCGTGTCTTTCGCAAATTAAGTTTGTGATCGATTGGAACTAATTTGCTAAAAATCAGAGAAAATACGCTGGGAAACCTCGATTATAAAAAGTGTCCCCTTTTTTCTAGGTGGACTTGGAAAAAGTTGGCCAAGCCGGCTGTTCCAACGAAGTAGAAAATGTTCTCAATATTCGAAATTACTTAATTCAACAAAACACCTGGCTTGAAATGGTCGACTGTTTGATGAAAACGAACAAAATGACGGACATCTTCTTAGAGCTGAAACATCAATTTAGTGAAGATAAGGTATTTATCGGCATCAATTTACAATTTGTATAATTCCGTTAATGTATGTAAGACTCGATGACTGGTCACCAAAATCTGCAAATTTTTAATTTCATTTCTCGCCTCTGGGAACTAATTTTATAATTCTGGAAGACAAATTTGTAGTCAGTGAGTTGATTAATGGAATGGCGTCGAGTTTTTTGAGCCAGTTTCGACGAGTTCCAATTTTTCTGAAGGTTTCTTAAACTTGAGATCTCCTCCTTCAAAAAGGGTCAAGATCTGGAGTGTATATATTCAAAAAATTGGGAACGACCTGCTCTACAAATTTTTCGTCCAGAATTTTCAAATAAATTCCCAGAGGCGAGAAATAATTACAAATGTGCTTATTTTAAGGATTTTCCTAACTAATTAATTAATTCTTCTACAGACTCGAACATTAAACGGGATGCGAATCTCGTTAGAAAATCGCTTCAATAAAATTTGGCTCGGATTAGAGGACACTCGTCAAGGCCAGACCAGGTTTCCTCCTTTCCCATCGTCATTCTCATCAACAAATAATAATCTTCCCAAACGAATCAGAGCGATAACGAATGAAGATTTGCAAAGTTTGGCGGAACGTGTCAAAGTTTACATTTCCAAGGTGGATGAAGACGACGATGAGAAAATCTGGAGGGATAAGAATCCACAATTTATCGTGAACTTTATCGACGCTCTTACTCAACTTGTTCAAGATCACGATGTCATAACGAGGTGAAAAATATTACTAGAAATGGAAGTCTCCCAGCATATGCTCTCAGATTTTGATTACAAATTAGTGTCAATCGGTGGCAAATTTAATTAGGATGAAATTTGCAAAAGACACGATCTCCGAATGGGCACGTTTGGCCGAGATATTTGCATCCGAAGAGGAGAAAAGGCACAGTAAATTTGGAAAGTGTAGAATTAGTCGACTTTACGGCGTGTTTTCTCCTCTTCGGATGTAAATATCTTTGTTAATCATTCCCATCGGGAGATAGTGTCTTTTGCAAATTTCATACTAACTAAATTCGCGATCGATTCACACTAATTTGCTCAAAATCTGCGACCATACGCTGGTAGACCTTGATTTTAAGTGCATACAAAAATCTTAGCAAGACGTGTCAACAATCCATGTTCAAAAATTGTCCCGATTTTCTACAAAATTTTGTTCTTCGACTTATTCTCCTCTTGATTTAATTGTCCCTCAACGAGATTTGTTCTGGCGTCGAATTGTCCCCCTCCCCCCGAAATATGATATGAAATACGATTTGTGGGCCACCACAACCCACTGACAACACTGAACTAATTTTATTTTCTTTCCTCCACAGTAATAACAAGGAGGGCGATCAGGACGTCGAAACCAATGTGGACGCCATGTCGTCAATGATCTCGTCGCAAACCGTGGCAAAACAGAGGAACAAACAAAACAAGCCAAACAACCAAAAGTCTGCATATGAAGCTAAATATCTTCTGGAGGATTGCTAAAAAATGGGTGTCGTCCGCTAATGTGTGATTTAATAATGATAAAAAATGTATTTTTAAAAGTGTCAGAAGTTCAATTTATGTATGTATGTAATTTATGAAAAATCTTGTGAAAATAGTTACGAAAAAGAAGAAGAAAATACTTCTGATTTTCAAGCATTTTTTTGTACCTAAATATTTTTATAAACATTCCGTAATTAACCAGTTGCCTCCCAAGCACATGAATGTCATGTGGCGCACAAGCCGTCGCTAAGGGCCCAAGTACATCAAAGTCATGTGCTCCTTGAACGGTAACCATGCGCCCAAATACATCAATGTCGTGTACTCCGACTGCGGTAACCATGCGCCCAAGAACATCAATGTCATGTACTTCCAAAAACACAATTTTCCGCCCGAGCACATCAAAGTCGTGTAATTCAAAAAAAAAAATTCGGTAAAAATTTCTAAATAGCTGTAGTTTTTTTTGGAGCTTGTATATTACAATTGTATAGCTCTTCAGGCATGTCTGGTAAGTATTTATCATCGACAAGCATATATATAAATATACATCCAATTTTCTCACACTTGATAATACGACAGACAGTGAAGACGTCGAATTTTCTCTCGGGCAGTTCTCAGATTACGACTCCGATGAGGAATTCTTGCTACAAGAACAAAACGACGACGATGACGAGAACATGATCAACTTTCCGGAAGATGAAGATGAAGAAGGCGCGGATGTAGATTCTGAGGACGAGTTGCGTGACCCCAATGAACACCCCGCTGTACGTATATTATTTGTATATTTATATATATGCATATTACTAAGTAGTGCGTTTTGCCTAAATTTATTCATATTTTAGACCAATGTTATCCGCTACCGGAAAAATGTTCCATTTTTACCTCAAGTTACTGATTATGAGGAACCGGAGGTGTTCCTAAAATTGGATTTTGGGATTACAAAGGAATCTACTGCACTGGAGATTTTACAAAAATTCTTGGACACTGAAATTTTGGATGAAATTGTCCTTCAGACAAACATGTATGTTCAATACCTAAAACGCGCGGATCGGAACACAATGAAGGATTGGACTGTGGTGAATGGTGAAGAAATGTGGCAATTCTTTGCACTTGCGATGATGATGGGGCTGATTATCAAGCCGGAAATCAAGGACTACTGGTCCACAGATTCAATGTTTTCTACTCCATTTTTTGGCCAGGTCATGTCAAGGAATAGGTATAAATATGACTTATAATATAAATAATATATATATTTATGTACACTACTTATCCTAACTATTTGACTACTAGATTTGAGTCGATCCTTCGAGGATTCCATCTTGTGGACAATGACACCATCCCACCCAACAATAAAGATCGATACATAAAGTTTGGAAGTTTCATGGAGAAGATTTTTCAAAATTTCCGGAAAGCAGTCAATTTGGGATCTTTTCTCACGGTGGATGCGGTAAAAATTATAATTATTCGGTAAAAATTTGTATTTTCGTATTTTCAAAAATTTGTGAAATACTTACCAAACGTCTATTTAATATTTGTAAAAATCGTATCAGCATTTCGATGTATGTAATTTATGAAAAATTTTGAGAAATTAGTTACCAAAAAATATTGATTTTAAGAAATCTTTTGTATCTAAATATTTTTTTAAATTCCATTCAAATTAAAAATTAGCCTTTTCGTCAAAAATCCATTACATATTTGCGAAAAGTATCTATTTAATATTTTCGAAATATTTGCGAAAAGTGTCTATTTAATATTTTCGAAATATTTGCGAAAAGTGTCTATTTAATATTTGCGAAATATTTGCGAAAAGTGTCTATTTAATATTTGCGAAATATTTGCGAAAAGTGTCTATTTAATATTTTCGAAATATTTGCGAAAAGTGTCTATTTAATATTTGCGAAATATTTGCGAAAAGTGTCTATTTAATATTTGCGAAAAGTGTCTATTCAATAGTTGCTCAATATTTGCGAATTCTTTGAAATCTACCAGAATTAAGGAATACACCTGAAACAACTGAAAAAGTCAAAAGTTAATAAATACTGCAAATATCTAAGTTTTGTACATACTTAAATAAGTAATAAAAAGCAATAATATTATGTGATAAATTACGCTTAATTAATTTATGTTAGCTCTGCCGTGGGTATAATAATGGATGAAATTAGATCCTATTTAGCATCACTTTTTCATCTACAGGATGACACTACTAGATAAATTACACCTGCTAACAGGCTTCCTTCCTACCTGTCTCTTGTCACGCACTTTAGAAGAAGAAAGTGATCCTGATCAATTTGTATCTATATCATTCATTCCTTCCTTTTGCTCTATCGATTTGTCGTTTAAGATTCATAGAAAACTTGGCCCATGTAAAAACCGGGCTTGCCTTTGCATGCAGAAATTCGCAAATAATCAAACTTCTTGCGTGTCTATAATAGTGGTGCAATTACATAAAAGAGACAAGAATTTAGGAAGATGATCTCTATTGTTTTATTGTTTTTCACTTATTGTTTGTCAATACATACATTCATCCCTAATTAATATGGTCAGCATGCAACCTCGACCATCACGTGCTCGTATCCTTCCCACACTGTTAGTATGGTAGGGATACGAACGCGGGAATCAAATTTTGGCCGAGGTTGGATGCTGAGAACTATAGTCTCATTTGGCTAATTTTTACGCATGTTATCAACCATTTACTACATGCCATCAACTTTCTGTAAATAATGAGGGTTTTCTTCTTCTTCTTAATGAAATTGAAAGTCTCCCTTAAAATATTTTTCGAAAATTTAATCGCCCTCAAAATTTCGAAATCAATGTGCATAATTGTTTTATTGGACAATTTTTAACGGGAATAAAATTCAGTAAGTTACTCATGCGCATATTTAAACAAATAGAACATTATGCTGTTTGGGCAGGCTAATAAATAAAAAATTAAATCAGGTGGATCGTTTATTAGGGTCATAAATTAAAGTGCATTTTAATAACTGCATACAATCTTCATCTGAAAAAAGTATGCAAAAATTTTGCACTGTCTCACTACTTGTCTATGTGAATGCAATTTATCCATTTCTATGTATGTGCACCTTGTCACGTAATTTTTATGTCATTTGCATATTACATCTCGTCTCGTCTTCAAGTAGAAAAATGGAATGATAATATTTTTTCCCTTTCAATAGATAAATCATTGTTGAATTAGATGCATCCACTCGGATGTCATTCTCGCATAAAAAGATGGTCTTCTTGACACTTTCCTTCCTTCAAAGGGAGTACATGCACATTTAATTCGACAGTGGCGGAAATAGCATATAGGCAAAAACTAGGGGCCCCTTGACATCAGGGGCCCCGGGGAGTGCGAATACACATTTTTGAAATTTTTTTTTCAAATACACATTTTTTGAAATATTTATTTTGTGCAAATACACATTTTTTGAAATATTTATTTTGTGCGAATACACATTTTTTGAAATATTTATTTTGTGCAAATACACATTTTTTGAAATATTTATTTTGTGCGAATACACATTCTTTGAAATATTTATTTTGTGCGAATACACATTCTTTGAAATATTTATTTTGTGCGAATACACATTTTTGAAATATCTATTTTGCTAGTTTACAAGAATTCTTCATCAATAAAGGAATTTAATATGACCTAGAGTCATTCTAAACTTGTTACATTTTTAAACATTAAAATATTTTTAAAATTCAGTTTGAAACATTTCGCAAGATTTTTCTTAAATTCAATATTAACGTAAGAAATTGTTTTTTTTCAAATTTTTTGAGTAGAAAACTAATCCGCAATGCCGAAATTAAACCGAAAATGCAACTTCGTTCTATTTTCCTAAGGGCCCCCAAAACATAGTTACGCCACTGAAATAGTACAATATTTAACTGTATTCCTGCAAGTAAGGTGAAGTTGAAGGTGAAAACAGCCTGCCAACCCAACAATCAAGTAAAAATTGGACAATTTAGAAAAGTAATTGATACATTTTTTTTGCACAAATATTGTAAAAGTGAATCTTCAATTTATATATTAATACGAGTTGACACGATAAATGTTGCTAAATACTTGCAGTTTTGGCACGGATGTCATTTCGAGGTTGACCCTTGTCTCGAGTAGAAGTGTTTAAGGTCCCAATATTTTTTTAGGTTACGCCTGTTACACCTACTCCAAATAGTTACCAGTTGAACTTAAAATTTCAAATTGAGACGTTTTTTCATGAGAATTTTTGAAATGTGGAAAAAACCTGGAGCGTGTAAGACAAGATTTTTGTTCTTATTTGGTCTCGTCCTCCTTCTTCTCGGAATTAAGGGTAAATTTTCGAAACTGTTTTTGAGTGGAAATTTCAAAATTTATTTAAAACTTATCTTCCAAAACGATTTTTTTTGCGTGGAAATTGCAAAATTATCCAAACTTTGTATTCCAATACGATTTTTTTAACGTAGAAATTGCAAAATGTATTAAAAATTTTCTCCCTATACGATTTTTTTTGCATGGAAATTGGCAAATTTATCCCTAATTTTCTTTCAATACGATTTGTTTAGCGTAGAAATTTTGAAATTTATTCAAACTTTTTTTGCAGTAAAATTTTTTTGCACAAAAATTTTGCAAAATTTATCCCAACTTTTCACAACTTTTTGCAGAGTCTCAATCTGCCTCACTGCACAAAACGACGCAACAAGTGGTCACTGCAATTTTGGGAAATGATGAGATTTCTCCAAAACCCAGAATTTCCATAGGACATTATTCCCCAGAGGATAAGGACCCCTTAAAGAAAGTGAGCCTTATCAAGACCACGGATAAGCCTAAGGATAAGCCCAAACCAGACGAAGGCGACGACGCCATCGTGGACACACTCTTCAGAAACGTGTCGACCTTATCGCGACGCGAGGCCCGCCTCATAATCGGGGCGTTAGATCGTAAAACCTGTTTCGCCAAGGTTCTCTGCGGTCTGGGGAGTAAAGAACCCACGACAAATACGGATCTTATCAACGACTATGCTTATCTTGTCGGGGAACTTGTCGTGTAAGCACTTAACGTATTACTTATCACCAAAATTGTCAAAATCCACACATTTTTAAACATTTCTCGCCTCTGGGAATTTATTTTAAAATTCTGAACGGCAAATTTGTATAGTTGTAGTCGTTCCCAATGTTTTTGAAAATATGCACTCTAGACTTTGACACTTTTTGAAAGAGATCCCCCAGTTTAAGAAGCCTCCAGAAAATTTGGAATTAAGATCTTGAGTGTAACATCTCGATGTCGTATCGCCAAAATCAGAACATTATAAAATATTTCTCGCCTTTGGGAGCTTATTTTAAAATTCTGGACGACAAATTTGCCGTCAGTGAGATTAATTAATGTTTGATTAATTAATGATTGATTAACGGAATGGCCTTGAGTTTTTTGAGCCAGTTTCGATGAGTTCCAATTTTTCTGAAGGCTTCTTAAACTTGAGATCTGCTCCTTCAAAAAGTGTCAAAATCTGGAGTGTAGATTTTTAGAAAATTGGCAATGACTTCGGCTCTACAAATTTGTCGTCCAGAATTTTAAGATAAGTTCCCAGAGCCGAGAATTAAATTATTAAAAAATGCGACTAATCCTGAGTATGCGTCATCGAGTCCAATGTTAATTAATTAAAACTGTGGCTAGTAAACTAATTAAAAAAATGTAACGTTAAAAACCCGATCTTAATTATTTTATCGTATCGGTATGCAATTAATAGATAGATTTTTTCGTTAATTATACGCAGATTCTTTGATTGGAGTAGCTTAAAAAATTATTTATTTATTTCCCAAAATAAATTATGCATTCTTTTAAAAATTTCCCAGAAATTCTGAAGAAGACACAAAATCCACGATTCTTGGCGATTTTTGGGATGAATTCGGTGCCCTAAAAGAACAACAAGATCTCGACTACTCATCGGACGAAGGAGATGACGACACTCGTCGCAGATCGGACGTCGTCGCCCCCAGGAAAAATTACGTCCCCCCATTCGTCCCCCCGTTCCAACGTCATTTTCGAATTCGTCGCCCTCCTCCGCCCCCCTTGCTTTTCGCCCGATTCGCCCGTCAGTTGAGTGGAGGGAGGCAGTGTCGCCAGCTCATGGAGAGGAACGCGTGTCCCTACAATGACACCCAGATGGGGCAAATTGTCACCAAATTGAGACAAATTATCAGAGGGGAAGACATTCTGGGGACATTTGTTAAGGTATTTGGTCTTAAAAATCTGGTATTAAATCATTACTGAATAGAGTACATGGATATGACGACTTTACCGAATCTGGTAATGATTACAGTTTTGTTTAGTAATTTTTTTGGTAATAAAAAATTTACCAGTTAGAAACCAATTACTACCAATCTGGTAGGAAGTTATTATACCAAATCAATACCAGTACGGAGTCTACTTGCTCTGGTAATAACTGGGAGTACCGCTTAGTAATTTTGTAGTAATACCAACTATCTACTACCAATCTGGTAGGAAGTTATTACCAGTAATATATCTGACTCTACCAGATTTCAACATTGGAGAAGTCCCTATAAATTAATTCCATTGAATCTATTTCCTTTTTAAAAGGGAGCTTCCAACTTCATGTCGGTCGGAACGGGTGGGGGTGGGGCTGGTCAATCATCTTCGTCGTCCCCTAACAGGATGAATTTGATCATCAATATTCATAATAACTTGACTCAGCCTGCTCCACAACGACAAGAATCGGTCAGTAAATATAGACATACAAAATCGACGTCTCACAGATTTTGAGGAAATTAATGTAAATCGATCACAAATTTAATTAGGATGAAATTTGCAAAGGACACGATCTCGCAATGGCCACGTTTCGCAGAGATATTTGCATCTAAAGAGGAGAAGACGCGTCCTAAAGTCGACAAATTGTACACTTGCCTCATTTACTGCGCATTTTGTCCTCTTCGAATGCAAATATCTCTACCAAACGTGCTGATTTGGAGATCGTGTCTTCGCAAATTTCATCCTAATTAAATTTGTGATCGATTGACACTAATTTGCCCAAAATCAGATTGCATACGCTGGGAGACCTCTGTTAATTGTCAGTCCTCCAAATTTGCCAATTTAATCATCAACCAATCCCACTATTTTTTAAGGCTGGATTTGCCGCAGTTCCATTAAAATCGTTCTACCAAAGTCGTGACACTGGGTCACTCCTGAGGTCAAATGATACTCTCGAAGATAACAATGACACCACGACCTCATCCTCATCCTTCAACCCCTTCGTCCTGCTCCCATTAGTCGCATCCACACCTCCCCCCTCATCCTCCCCTCCTCCCCCACCACCACCCCTCGATCCACTCCAACAACTCGTCGGCTTCCTTTATTCCGTCGGATATGCCGGGAACGACACCAGCCCCACGACGAAAGTTCCCGTGTTTCCGCCCAGACCAACGGACGAAGACGATTCGGAGGAAGAAGCCAAGAAAATCTTGAACAGATTGACGACCCAGAACAATAAAAAAGTGGTGGACAAGGAGGACGAGGATGAAGTTGAAGATGAAGAAAGTGATGAGGACAAGGGGAGAAAATCAGGTACTAGAAATTCAGTGGCGGCGGAAACTGGGGGACATCTGGAATCTGGGGACATAAACTTTGTAAGATAGGGGAAGCAAGGGTTGCCGTTTGCATGACATGGGGAGATGATGCGTACATCAAATAACCTTGGGGGAATTGTCCCTTTGTCCCCACACTTCCGCGGTCACTGTATAACTTCAGTGCTCGCAGAAGCCGGGGGGACATCGGGGGTCATTAGCATTGTAGAATGAAGTATGTATGGGTTTATACATATAACCTTGGGGGAATTGTCCCTTTGTCCCCACACTTCCGCGGTCACTGTATAACTTCAATGACCGCGGGGGCGCATGGGGACATCTGGAAAAATAAAAGTTATAGGGTAGTGGAGGGAGGGGTTTGTATAATTTAGGATATCGAATAACCGTGGGGTCATTGCCCCTCTGTTCATACGTTTCCGCGGCCACTGTATAAATTTACATAAATGTAAAATGCTGAGATAACGGTCCTCCTCACAATTTTAGGGATAGAAATCTCATCCCCAACGGAACCTGACTTTATCCGAATAAAATCGTCTCAGCGGACGGGCAGGTTTCACCATCCGGTCGGCCATGGGATCAATCATCACCACGTGGCTTACGTCCCAGTCGGGCCACCCCCACAGACAGAAGTCCCCATTTTGCTGAGGGCCTTCAGGTTCTTCTCCTCCATTATGCGAGGTGGTCCCATCGGATAAATCACCTGAAAATCCAACTCTAAATTATTTTTGGGAACGTTTTACACCGTAAATTATATATTTTTATTTCCATTCTTCCTAAAAATTTTAAAATATAGGTTACTTACGTGTAGTGTATCGAAAGTAAGAAGAAAACAGGGTTATTTTAGTAGTTAAATCAAGCGATAAAAATTTTGAAAATTTCTGAAATTTCTTCTCCATTATGTGAAGCGGTCCCATCGGATAATTCAACCAAAATTCAACTCTAAATTATTGAAATTAAGAAGAAAACGGTATGTTTTTTGTAGTTAAATCAAGCTAGACATAAAAATCTTGAAAGTTTCTGAAAGTAAGTACTTCTTGTCCCATCGGATAATCAAAATCAGATTAAAATTCAACTCTAAATTATTTTTGGGAACGTTTTACACCGTAAATTATATATTTTTATTTCCATTCTTGTTAAAAATGTTAAAATATAGGTTACTTACTTTTTTAGAATGTATCGAAATGAAGAAAAAAACAGTATTATTTCAGTAATTAAATCAATTTGTATGAGTTTTCAAAATTTCTGAAAGTCTTCCTATCCCATAAAAAATTTGGAGAAAATGAGGTCCGTCCCAAAATCTTAAAATCCAACTCTAAATTATTTTTGGAAATTTTGGAAATGTTGTACGACGTAAATTATATATATATTTTTATTATTACCATTTTTAATAAAAATTTTTGAGAATACTTCTTGGTCTCATCGGATAAGCAAAATCAGATTTAAATCCAACTCTAAGTGATTTTTGGAAATGTTTTAAGTGTCTTAAAGAATATATTTTTATTTAGATTTTTTTTCTAAAAATTTTAAAATTTCTATATTTTAAAATATTAAATGATATCTATATCTGAAATTTCTACTCCTCCATTTTGCGAGGTGGCCCCATCGGACAATCCCTCAAAATTCAACTCTAAATAATTTTAGGAAACATAAATTATATATTTTTATTTCTATTTTTGCCAAATTAATATACTTTCACTTACCCGCAGTGTATCGAAATGATGCTGAAAACAGTATTATTTTAAAGTTATTCATAATTTTGAAAATTTCTGAAAATTCTTCTATCCCATAAAAAACTTTGAGAAGAGGTGGTCCCATCGGATAATCAAATTCAGATTAAAATATAAACTCTAAATTATTTTTGGAAACGTGTAGCATCATAAATTATATTTTTGTATTTCCATTCCTCTTAAAAATGTTAAAATATAGGTTAATTGCGTTTTTATCGCTCGCAGTGTACTGGAATGAAGCAGATAACTGTATTTTTAAATCAAACTTAAAAATTTCGAAAATTTCTGAAAATTCTTCTCCCCACCGTACGAGGTGGTCCGATCAGATAATTTAAATCACTTTAAAATTCTATTAACTATTTTTGTAAATGTTTTACGTCGTAAATTACATATATCCATTTTCGATAAAAAATTTTAAAATATAGGTTTCAGTGTATAGGAATGAAGCTGAAATCAGTATTATTCTAGTGGTTAAATAAATTCGTGGTTTTGAGAATTTCTGAAAATTCTTCTGTCTCATAAAAATTTTGAGAAGACGTGGTCCCCTCGAATAATCTAAATCACGTTAAAATTCTCTAAATTATTTTTGGAAACGTGTAACATCATAAATTATATTTTTGTATTTCCATTCCTCTTAAAAATGCTAAAACATAGGTTAATTGCCGTGCAAGTCTCTAGTCTTTAGTAGTGAATTGAAATGAAGAAGGAAACCTTTATTAAATCAGGTTCTAAAAATTTCGAAAATTTCTGAAAATTCTTCTCCCCATCATATACGAGGTGGTCCTATCGAATAATGTAAATCACCTTAAAATTCTATGGGAACGTCCATAAATCACGTGATCGATTAGAGGGGGGGAGGGGGTCTGAAATTTGTCACCAATTATCACGGGGGGGGGGTAGATGGTCAGATGTCACGTGACATGAGTAGTATATACAAAAGTTTTTTAAACTTTTGTATATGCCAATAAATGTCATGAGAGAGTTATGTATAAACTCCCTTGGCATACCACACGCACGTTATATAAATTTGATTTTCATTTTGCATATTTAGAAACTTGCTTCGACTTAAATACTTATGTCTGACTGGCGTATTAAATAGGTATTTACACATGTGTGTAGTGTAGCTCTAATTTGCTTAATGATTTAAAAAATATTGTTGTTCCGGACAACATGATTTAATTTGAGCATCTCCTGTCACGTGACCGGTGGGGGGGGGGTAGCGAAATTATCACCACCGGTCACCTAGGGGGGGAGGGGGTCAAAATTGGCCAAAAATCGATCACGTGATTTATGGACGCTCCCTATTAACTCCTCTAAATTATTTTTGGAAATGTTTTACGTCGTAAATTACATATTTCCATTTTCGCTAAAAATTTTAAAATATACGTTATTATCTTATACTATCGTTTAAGTTTTGTATCGAAGCTGAAAATAGTATTATTTTAGTATTTAAATAAATTTTTCATAGCTTTCAAAATTTCTGCATGTTCTTCTACTCCATAAAAAATTTTGAGAAGACGTGGCCCCATCGGATAATCTAAATGACTTAAAAAATCAAATTAAATTATTTTTGGAAACGTTTTACGTCGTAGATTATATATTTTTATTTCCATTGTTGCTAAAAAAAATTAAAATTTAGATAAGTTACTTACCATTTTAAGTATCGAAGAAGAAAATATTATTTTAGTAATTAAACCAATTTTTGAAAGTCTTCAAAATTTCTGAAAATTTAAATTTCTTAGTCTTCTTCTAATACACTCCGAGTCTGTTAGATATTTGAATAAGCTTTCCAAAATACAGAGTTGACTGACCAACCAACCAATAAATTTTTTTGTCTACATGCAAAAAATTCGCAAAACTTAAATTCCTCACAATTTGCACAACTAATTTACACATTAATTAAGCACATGCATACATTTATGAATCAGAATCAGGATTTGTATGTCTGCATGTAAATCATACCCATTAAAAAAAATATCGAGTTTACAACAATAACAATTTTTTGCAACGAATTCAGAGCAGCGTTATAAAAAAATCTCGTCCTGATGAAAAAACTTGGCCTAAAATCCACCTAAAATAGTGCTTTCGCATGGCACCACGTTGCAAAAAAACTCGTCGTGTGCAGGCAGCAAGAAACAAGGTGACAGGGCGAGTGAGAAAAACAAGCGAGTTAAAAAATGGGAGGATGCTGCAGCTACAAATTTCATGTAGCGAGTACCTTACAAATCTGTATTTTGACTGCAAAACTTTACCATTCACATTCGCAATGGCATTGCAAACTTGCTGACATTATTTCACGACGTCGCGTTACACTGACGAGACGACCAACTAACCTTATCGATCTTTAATTAATGCATTTCATAATTTTTTTTACTATGTAGAATGAGATTTATATTCCAAATATTGGCATAAAATTATCATGTCCGGACCGGTGTGACTTGTGTCACTTTCTTTGCAGATAGTAAAAGTACCTACGTAAAAGTTTCGTATGATTTTCTTGGGTACCCCACGATGGAAGGCGAATATCATGAGGGGTGTCCCCCCACTTTGAATCCATGGGTGGTGAAAAACCACCCATCTCTCAAAAGTGAAATTTGCAAAATTCGAGTATTTATAATTTCTGAGCTTATAAAACGAGATCATTCCAAGCGGAACTTCCATTCTGGGGGCATATCCTCTCGAAGAAATTAAATATTTCGATCCATTTTTGTTCAAAAACTTTGTCCAATCCTAAAATTTTTCGATCCACTTTTCTCATAAATTTTCAATCCATTCTTCTTAAATTCTCTTTCATAAAATGAAGAACTTCAAAGTTTTCGGTGTTATTATTTCTCACTTGTTGTTCGTCCTTGTCCCAATAATTCTGGTCTTGACGAAAGGTAACTTTTCACAAAATCAATAATTCTTCACTTCACATTTTTTTTTTAATTCCAGAATCTCAATCTGCCTCAGTCTCATGGACGAAAAAGTCTCAATCTGCCTCAGTTTCTTCCCAGCATAAATCTCAACCTGCCTCAGTCTCAATCAACAAGTCTCAAGCTGCCTCAATCTCACCAAATAAAAGAACGACGAACGCCGTGATCCACGATATTCTCCAAAATAAGGAAATCTTTCCGTCCCCCAAATTATCAATCGGGCATTTCGGTGGGGATGACGCCCTCCCATTCTCCTCCGATAAGCTTCAAGATAAGCCCGGAAATAACTATACCGACAAAATTTCAGCCCTCCTCAACTCCGATCCGTTATCGCGACGAGAGGCACGCCTCATAATCGGGGCGTTAGATCGTAAAACTTGTTTCGCCAAAGTCCTCTGTGGTCTGGGGAGTCAAGAGCCGGACAAACACACGGACCTCCTCAACGACTATGCCTACCTCATGGGCGAGGTCTTGGGGTAAGCTTACCTTATCGAACAGACCGTGGATATGTATTTATTTTCAACATTTTCATTTAATGACGACCCACGGTCAAACTTTGTCCGTGTATTCCCCAACTCGCATAGGTCACAAAAATTTCAAAAAATTTCCACATACGTTACATATTTCGACTTTAAATGTGAACTTATCAATATTTCAACTATTATTTCAAAAATACGTAACTCCTTTAGACATTTTTCAAAACTACATTCATATTTTGCAAATATTTCAACGATTTGGGACGAAACTTTTTTCGCTACAAATTTAAACACAAATAGTGTGAAAGTAATTGATTTAAAAAAAATCCAGAGTCAAATTTCAATATATTTCCACACACCTATTTACATATTTCTAGGTTTTCAGAACTGTGAATAAATATTTCCGCTATCATTTGAAAGATAAATACGTACTATTTTACGTATTTTTTAAAAATGTGTATATGTTTTGTACATAAATACATATTTCAACGATATGAGAGGCAAATTTTTTTTACTCAAAAAATTTGGATCACAAAAAATCCAGAGCATTAAATTCAAAAATACAAACTTTGCGAAAATTCTTATTGTTTTCCGTACGTTTTCGTAAATATTTTGGCGTTAATAAATAAATAACCAGGTCAAAGGTCCTTCCTTAGCCTAAAAAATTGCCCCCTTTCGTATACAGCACATCCCAAGAAGAACAAGACAACCCCAAAAAATCCAACAAGAACAATAAAAAGACCAAGAACAAACTCCCCCAGGAATCCATCCTCACCGACATTTGGGACGAATTCAGCGTCGCCAAAGAAAGCTTGGACAAAGATGACGACGAATCGGACGAAGAACAAGACGACGCCACCACCTCTCGCGAACGTCCCGATCGCTTCGACCTCGACGAGTACCGCGTCCTTCACGGCAAAGTTGACCATTTTCCCGCCCGTCACGCCGTGATGCCGCCCTTTCACCCGTTCCGACCACCCCTTCCTCGCCGCCGGATTAAAATAATTCGCCCCAAATTGTACCTTGGGCGGGTTCGGATTGGGCGAAAATTGGCCCGGCAATGTCGCCAACTTGGTGGTGGCGATGGTCATGGCGAGGACAGCAGGAAGTACAAATGTCCATACGATGACGCCCAAATGGGCACCATTGTCACCAAGTTGAGGCAAACGATGCGTGGCGAAAATGGTGGCAGCGTGTTGAACACGGTCGGACAGGTGAGGGAGAATTATTTTACTAATTTATTCTCGTCACAACCTCCTTGATTGAGTCATTCGATAGATTTCGGTTCCTCAACAGATTCTCAATTTCGTATGGCAATGTTTGCAATTTGGTTTCAGTTGATTGTGAATAACTATTTGCAAGAAATAACGGCAAGAAAGTGGTTTTTTGCAGCTATATATTTTGACCTGCAAGAAATGCACGGGGCGAGAAACCACTTCCTTCCGTGTTGTGAAATAGTTCATATATAGCGTGTGGCTAGATAGCGCATATTTCTTTAATTCTTGCACTATCTTGCACCTCGCATTTCTTGCATTTCCAGTATAAGAAATGTAGCAAAACACCTACAGAAATGAAACACTGGATTTGAATATAGACTTTATTTTTAGGGCGCTTTAAGTGGAGCCTCGCAAGCAATGTCGCTCCTCCGTGGGGCCGCTAACACGTTAAAATCTAGTGTCACGTCCCCCGAAAAGATGAACGTGGTCATCAATCTCCACCAGAATATGACCATGCCGGGTGGTGGAAATCAGCAAATGGTGAGTAGTAGTAGTAGTCGTCGTCGTTAGTGCTTTACACGAATCCGAGTCCGATTCGAATCCTAATCCCCGTTTTTTGGGGGATTCGCCCGGGATTCGACTCTTACCGAATTCGGATTCATGTAGAGCATTAGGCGTCGTTTTTTAAGGGGGAAATCTATAAACAAAACTTATACTATTCCCAGTCCGGATTTGCCGTCACGGGCCCCGCCTTTTACGGAAGTTCGTCCCCAGCATTACCCTCCTCGAACGAGTCACAAATACTACCTCACAGCGAGGAGAGTCACCTTGGTGGTGGCGTCCGGTTCAATCCCTTCTACATAATACCTTTGGGAGGTAATTCCCCCCAATCACCACCACCCCCACCCATCCCAACCACCACACCAGCCCCCTTCATCCCCACAACGACGCTCGAACCACTCCAACAACTCATCGGATTCCTGTACTCGGTCGGATATGCAAATGAATCCACCCCTGAGCCCGATCTCGACCGGCCCCTCACCCTGGCCGACTTGGCGATGCTGACAAATTCCAAAAAACCGATAAGTCACGAGCACAATGACGACGAATCGGAAGAAATTTTCGATAACAGCAGGAATAAAGATAAGTCGATCTACGCCGACAAGGAGGGCATCGTTCGGATCAAGTTTTCCCGCAGATCGGGCCGCTTTCAGAGGGAAGACGAAGAAGAAGACCAAAGTACAATTAAAAAACAGGACAGGTCGGGACAACCTGAAGAACAATGGGACAATGTTCCCGTTCCAGCCCTCATTTTCCGTACTTTTATGCGATTCGTGTCCTACATGGGGGCCAGAGTCGGATAAATATGCTTCCAAAAATTATTTTCCACTAAATCCACCGGAATTTTGGAATGTTTTCAACAACTTTCTGAATATTCCCGAGAGTTTTCGAAACTTGTCGAGGAATTTTTTGCATATTCCCGAGAATTTTCGAAAATTTCCGGAAACTTTCAAATGACTTTAAGTACAACTAAAGAGGACAGGTCGTCATAACCTCAAGAACAATTCGACACTGTTCCCACACTCATTCTCCGAACTTTTATATAATTTTTTCAAGAAATTTTTGAATATTTCGGGGAATTTTCGAATTTTCTCGGGGGATTTTTGAATATTCCAGGGAATTTTCGAAAGTTTCCGGAAACTTTCAATTCTCTTCGCCAAAAAAAAGACAATTTCCTCCCGTCTTCCCCCGAAATTTTGAAAGTTGTTGCCAGAATGGGACAAAACAAGCTACGTATTTATTTAGTGACATAATTTATATCTCGTTAAATATGTGCATCCATTAATTTAATCTTGTTGCAGTTTTAAAAATGTGTAATAAAAAGTTCGAATTCTAAAAATTGATCATTTTTAACCTGGTTAAAATATGGGATGGAATTATGCATAGATTTTGCAAGAAATGTGACCATCTTCCAATTTGCAATATATACATACATATTGTGCATTTGGGGGCGATACTCGGCATATACTTGAGCCTTTTTTTGCAAAAACTGCAAAAACCTTCCGTTTTATTGTACAAAATTACCATAATATTTACATATTTACATGATTACATATGTAATTTATTTACACAATCGATGCCAAATCAATCCACTGATCCGCTTGGTAAAAGTCGAGTTCAAAATCGTCCAAACTGGTCGTGGAGTCAATTTCTCCCGGATTATGCAAATGGTACGCTTCTTCCGGATGCCAGTAGTCCCACTCCTCCTTCGAGGCGTGGAAATGCGTCGCGTCGCCATACCCGGCGAATCCCAAAAAATTACTCCGGGACGGTTCGGCCTCTGTTGCGGGGGGTGGTAATTTTGATCGATACTGGAGCGTTTTTAGCACTTTTTACCAATTTTCGTCACTGCGTCGGTAAAAATCAACCAAAACTGGTAAAATTTAAAACACTGAATTAACGTTACATGAAATCCCCCCCAAATCAATCCCCCACGTGCAAAAACCTTAACTTTTATTGTACAAAATTGTCATAATATTATTTATATAATTTGTACAATCAATGACTTTTATTGTACAAAATTTCCATAATATTATTTCCAAGTATTTACATAAATACATACATATTTACATGCTTTATACAATCGATGCCAAATCAATCCACTGATCCGCTTGGTAAAAATCCAGTTCAAAATCGTCCAAACTGGTCGTGGAGTCAATTTCTCCCGGATTATGCAAATGATACGCTTGTTCCGGGTGCCAATAGTCCCACTCCTCTTTCGAGGCGTGGAAATGGGTCGCGTCGCCATACCCGGCGAATCCCCCACCCCAAAAAATGACCCCGGGACGGTTCGGTCTCTGTTGCGGCGGGTGGTAATTGTTATGGTCGATACCGTTTTGGTAGTGGTCACCACCACCAAAATGATCTTCGCCCTCGTCGAAATCCCCAATGTCGTCAAAACCGTCTGGAAAAAGAGAACGGAAATCAACCCATTTTTAGACGGATTATGAAGTTATTAAATGAAAGGCAGTTAGAAAAACCTACGTTTTTAAAGTTCCCGTAAATTTCCACTTCTTGAATTGAATTAAAGTTTCCGTGAATTTCCTAAAATATCATTAAATTTCCCTATAAATCTCTTCAGTCGGGTCAAAAATCCCGTAAAATTCCCTTCTATTTGAGTATGTAAAAATTTCCATAAAATTCCATATTCTACTTGAGTTAGTTATGTCAAAATTTCCGTAAATTTTCATAAATTCCTCTAATATTACCCCCTAAGTTGTTAAAATTTCTGCTAATTTCCTTAAATTTTACGTAAATTTCCCTATCCGAGTTTCTCTATCAAAATTTCCGGAAATTTCTGCAAATTTCTCGAGCTCGCTCGAAATTTCCGTCACCAATTTTCGAAATTACACTTAACATTATTAAATGCGAAAATTTTGACCCGGAAACTTTAAAAACCTGGATTTCCTAACTGCCCATAAAATTACCCCGAAATGTATTATTAATTTGCTAACTTTTCTTGAGTTGTCGAACGAAGAAGATATTTTTCCTGACGGAGGTGAACGTGGGTTGGACGGGGCGGAAGTTCGTGGTCAGCGGTTTCTTCGAGAAGGACAGCAACTTCCGGAATTTCTCCATTTGTTTCGCACTCACCGGAACGGGGTCGCGGAACACGGTCCAAACCACGGATTCCGAGCAGGGTGGGGTCGTCAGGGAGCCGGCGTACCTAGAAACACGAAAAGATAGTGCACTTTTAGCAGAGATGGAAATTATTGAAATTTCGCAGAAATTCTAGTAAATTTTTGGGACAAAAAACTGTATTTTGAGCTCTATTTTCCCAGGATTTGGATTTCTGGGGGTGTTGGAGAAGGCAGCACTCGTACGAAAATGCAAATTTTTTTGAAGAAATTAGCTTTGTATCGCCGTCATAATACTTTCTTTTTAAAATCTTAAAGTTAATTTCTCGACAAATCATGTCTTTTTCTCCATTTTTTGTGGGTGTAACATTTCTTTGGCATTGCCCTCTGCTTCCAAGGGTTTGAATTTCAAGGGGTGTTACACCCACAAAAATACATGATATACATGGGAAAATATACGTTTTGAGAAGAACTAAAACTTTTTTTTATCTCTTTCAATATTCATCGTTTTCACGATTTTTTAAGAATAAAGGACTTTGACAGCGATAAAAAACAAATTTCTTCACAAAACATGTATGCATTTTTGTTCGACCCCATGGAAGAACAAAGCTCAAAACTATGTCCTTATTTTTACACCTTAGCATTTAAACTACGTCTGCTTTTTTCCAAATTTTTCCCTTCCAACGTCAAACTTACACTAAAATTCTTTTAAAAAACTCGTACCTGAACATCCTCATTTTCTTCGGATACAATTTCGTCAACGTGATTTTATTACTGGTCGTCGTCTTCGCCACGGCCAAGGGCTGTTTCACTTTCCCCGCCAAGTTCAGGATGGGTTCGAGGTTCGGGTTGTCGTTGGGCGAGATGTAGAAAAGCACGGAAATGACGGCGATCTTGGAGGGGTCCTTAATCTGCTTGTGGACCATGTGCATCTCGAGAGGGTACGTTTTTCCGGAGATGCGATGCTCCGACCCCACCTGGTCGTTCGGTCCCCAGTGGAAGTGCAACTGGGAAAAGTAGTACGGCTTCTTCCCCAGCCCGTCCCCCAACAGGAAGCATTTCGACTTGTCATCCGCGTTGATCGAGAGTTGAAGCGTGTGCCCTAAAAAAATTAAGAAAAAATTGGATATGATTTATTATAATGCGATGGTGTGAAGTGTAACCCTCGGATTTGGTTGAAATTTTAAAATTGTGTGGTCCAAGTCAATACAACCAACGTTTCTCCAGGCAGTTTGTGCGATAGCTGGAATTTTTAAAAATATTTGAGGTCAAAGTTGAAAAATGGGCGATTTTTTTGTACGGGAAGAGAATGAAAGTTGAGTTTACTTCCTCCGCTTGGTAAAAATCGCCCATTTTTCAACTTTGACCTGAAATATTTTGACAAATCCTGGCCATCGCACAAACTACCTGAAGAAACATTGGTTGTATTGACTTGGACCACACAATTTTAAAATTTCAACCAAATCCGAGCGTTACACTTCACACCATTGCATTGTCAGCTTAATTTTATGTATGTTATCCTGAATGGGTTAGTAACTCATTAAATTTAACCAGCGAGATCGGTGGCCGCGGAAGCCGTAGGAACATTGGGATTGCAGGATACACTCAAAATAAGGTAGGAATGAATCATTACCATGCGGAATGACTATGTGGCTCTACCACGTCGGTTACGATTTGTCGTAGAAATGGTAATAATAAGTTCAGGGAAATTCAAATTCATTACCAAATATTAAGGAAGTGAATACCATTATGTATTAAATTTGAATTTCCCTGAACTTATTATTACCATTTCTACGACAAATCGTCACCGGCGTGGTAGAGCCACATAGTCATTCCGCATGGTAATGATTCATTACTACCTTATTTTGAGTGTAGGGGAGGGAAGGATGTACCTACATAGCACGGGAAGATGATTTAGACATCGAATGACCACCGTGGGGACATTGTACCTCCGTCCCCACGCTTCCACGGCTACTGATCCAGTTATCTATTTAATTTAGCCGTTGCAACTTAAACAATTTCACGCAAAAATTAATTAGAAAAATAAACAAAGTGCCATTTGTAACAAAAATAGTAAAGAAAACGTAAAATTCATCTTACAAAACTAAACATTTGCTGCATTTCAACATCGAATAAAGTCATTTTGTGATTTGCTGCATTTCAACATCGAATAAAGTCATTTTGTGATTTGCTGCATTTCAACATCGAATAAAGTCATTTTGTGATTTTTGGAATTAAGTTAAAAACATTAGGTAATGTAACGGTCCCAACAAGTTTGTCTCACAACGGAGGTCTCCCAACGTATGCTCACAGATTTGGACCAAACTAGTGTCAATCGATCACAAATATAATTAGTATGAAATTTGCAAATGGAACTATCTCCCAATGCTCAAGTTTAGCGGAGATATTTGCATAAAAAGAGGAGAAAACGCACCCCCAAGGCTGGCAAATTTTTCATTTTCCAAATTTGCTGCGTATTTTTCTCGCTTTCTATGCAAATATCTCCGCCAAACCGGCGCATTGGGAGATAGTTCTATTTGCAAATTTCATACTGATTATATTTGTGATCGATTGACGCTAATTTGGTCCAAATCTGTGAGCATACGTTGGGAGACCTCCAAAATCAGTACATTTTTACAGACAGACATACATACAAATTGTACAGACAACCATTTCGGGTACATTAGCCCCGATTTTTCTTACAAATTACGCTATTAAATACAACTTTCTCCTCGAACTCACCCGTATTCTTGACGAAGAAGAGCTTTGGCAGTGCGTAATTCCTGTTCAGAATAATTCTCGTGCTGACGGCCGTCCTCGCCGTCACTTTCGCCGTCGGAATATTAATCGGGCTCTGTTTCTTGCCTGAAGAGCAGAGCCCGCCCCAGTGCGCGGGACCACAACTGGCCGCGTCGTAACACCACTTTAGTCCCGACCCCGCCGAGGCGACACGGACGTGAAAAATCAGTAAAAAATAAATTAGTAAAGTATTAATCGACTTTAATCTGCTTCGGTGACGATGAAATTTTGTAACAGTTTTAAATCGGGGTGGAGAAATGTCACTGATTGAGTGTCGACGAAATTTAGTATTTTTCGGAATTTTACATCGAGGCGAGGAAATGTCCGGGATTCGGTGTCGATCAAATTTCGTATTTTTGGGAATTTTAAATTGACGAGGAGAATTGTCTCCGATTCGGTGTCGACGAACTTTAGCAACCCGGATTTTTAGTCGACGTGGGGAAATATCATGGATTCGGTGTCGATCAAATGTACCATTTTTCGGGAATTTGGACCCAAACGGGGAAATGTCCCGGTTTCGATGAAATATTGAATTTTTTGAAATTTTAAATCCAGTTTGCGAATTGTCCACGATTTGGTGTCCACGAAATTTTGCATGTATCGGAATTTTAGGGGAAATGTCTTCGTTTCGGTGTCGACCAAATTTTGTAACCGAGATTTTAAATCGAGCCGACGAAATGTCCCTGATTCGGTCTCCACAAAATTTTGAATAATTTTTCGAACTTTTAAATCTCGACGGAGAAATGTCCCGGAGTGGGAGGAACGACATCTTTATTAACCTGGTGACCACTCGAGTCCATTACCTCAGTAATTAAGCCAATTTTGGCCAAAATTTGCAACCAGTCGAAACAATGCAGTCGACTTAAAAGAGTGAAATTCAGATCGTGTGAGGTGCGTGTTATGCCCAATTTTTATAAACAGTTTTAGATGAATGATGTGATCATTTTTTGATTACTATTTTAATCCCGAGGAAAATGACATGTTTGACTACTGAATACCATTTTTTAACCTCGACCAACTGCCCATTTCCTAACACAATTCATACGTCAGTCGAGAATGGAATGCATGTAATTGTCCTGATATTGACCTTACGCGTTCATATTTATTTTGTGGAATAATATATTTTCAATGTGAATTTAGTGAAATTTTTGACAGTACATTTTTTTCTAGAGGGATTTTAGTCATGGAATAGTTTCAAACAGAGGAAAAGACACGTAAGCAAGCATTATGTAATGTACAGAGGGCGGATAAGAATTTATTTATTTACAATTTTCAAGTAACTCGCATAGGTAATAAAAATGTCAAAATATTGTTTTTATTACATATTGGAACATATTTCGAAGTTTTGAGAAATATAAATATTTCCGCTATTCTTTGAAAAATACGTAAGTCTTCAACATATTTTTGTCAAAAATACATATAATTTGAAAATATTTGAACGATGTGAGACGAAATTTTTTTGTGCAAAGAAATTGGACCCCAAAAAATCCAGAGTATTGCATTCAGAAATATATAGATTTAAAAAATTCTTGTCTTTATGTTTTTCGTACATATTTCATTTCGTAATCGTTTTTGTAACATATACGTTTCAACGATTTTTGGTTTTTAATATATCCAAAATGTCCTTGTGAATTACAATTAAATTTACATTTAAGTCTGAAATTCATATAAAATTATACAAAAAACGTCAGGCCTTAATTCAAAATTATCGGCCAGCTTCTCACAAAAATTTATATAACCTTCTTCTCGTAAAACTTTTAATGTTTCCAAATTTTGTCATACTTTTACTCCATTTACAAAATTATGAAAACATATAAATTACTAAAAATTGTTTAAGATTGGTGTCTCCTCACGCATTGCATACAGCGTTTTTTTATCAATATTAAATATGTAGTGCATATTTCAGCGATTTTTCATAAATTTTGTCATACTTCTACTCCATTTACAAAATTATGAAAACATATAAATATCTAAAAATCGTTTAAGATCTGATAATTTTTCTGAGATAGCGTTTTTTTCAAAAATATTAAACATACAAATTTCAGTCATTTTATCCTAAATACATATCCGCCCTCTGGTAATGCATATCACTTCGCGTGAATTGAATGGGAATAAATTTTAAATGGTGGCGTCCTTATACCTCTTTTCCATATAGAATTGAGTATTTGTTAAAAAATCTGTAAAATTCACAATTATTAATTTTTATGAAAAAATAACCACGTGTTGTTTATTATATTTTCTAATAAAATGAATGAATGCATGTAAAAAATGAGTGCAGAACGTGTGTAGACCACCTTGTAGCTTATTTTTATGACACTATTGACCATTATTTGAAATCATGTCATGTCCATGTCGTGCATGATAAATGCAAAATCCGTTTTTTTTTATTTTAAAAATTTCAATGTGACAAAAAAAAAGCGTTGAAAAATGTTTAAAAGCGTCACTCACTTTCATTTCGTTCAACTTTTCTGCATGCAATTCGACTCTCTTTGAATGGAATTTTGTTGTTTTTTCATAAATTTCTACGAGTGCAAAGTCTACTTTATTTTTTATTTAGTACGAAATGCTCACGCCACGCCACGCCACGAAGATAACTTTGAGCACGTGGAACACGTGGCTAAAGCAAAATAACAAATTTTTTGAACTGGAGCGTGGACAATAACAATTGATTATTTTTTTAAAATTTCAATGAATGAAAATGCGTTTCAAATTGTTTAAACACGCATTAAATTGTATTTCTGTTTAATTGAAGGAATAAATAATCTGAGGACATTTTCTTCAAATATCTTATTAAACTTAAATTTGATTGTGGTCAAATAAATATCTACTTTAAGTTTAATTATAATGATATACCAAATCAATTATTTATGACCTACATACATTCAGGGATGGGCAATCCCAGGATTACTTTAATCAGATTAAGTAATCAGATTACATTGAATGTAATCCGTAATCCAGTAATCCACGAAAAATTCACATTTTAAAGTAATCCGTTGTCCGTAATCCTAACTAGGTCTGGAAATTATGTGTAATCCGTAATCCCCAATTTACGAGATTGGAAAATGTAATCAGATTACGGATTACTTTGTTGGATTACTTTGCTCCTGTAAACGGCATGACAGCTCCATCTTGCAACTTTTCCAGAGTCTGAGTCACTTGCTGAACTTGAGTGCTTAAACTACCTTCTGGATTCTTCAACAGAGGCGCAAAGTTTAGAGAATTTTGGAACAATTAAGAGGGTTTTTTTTACTTCAATGCATTTTTGTCTGCCCTAAGAAACCGACTGTAGGATGAATCATTCAAAGCTCTTGTTTTTTTGAAATAATCATCATCATGAAATATAAGTGTGACGCTATTCAGAATAAACCGTTGCAAACGAAATGTAGCAAACAGGTGGAGCGGTCACGCGGTCATGGCATGCCAAAACTATGTCTAGATTTTATTTTTGAAATCCCCGCCTAAAACTACGTCTAAAAGTATCAATACAAAAATTCGACATTTTCGACTATGGCGTCGTCGACACGATCACTCGGTCATGTCACGTCCAAACTATGAAGATTTTTGTAATCCTAGCCCAAGACTACGTCTAAAACGGCAAAAAAAATTCGACACGTTTGACCCGTGGCGACGTGACCTTATGACCTACAATTCCCATTTTCGAACTCATCCGTACCTCAAACATTAGATACCCGTTTGCGAAAACCGCATGTTGAAATTCGAAACCGTTGTAAAGTTACATCTCGTGGATACAGACCGGCGGACAACACTTTTCCATACAGGGATTTCGTTTCTCTTCACCCCTTAATACATAAATATAGATTTTTGTAATCCAGATAATAATCCGTAATCTGATTACTGTAATCCGTAATCCGTAATCCACGTCATTAATTTATCCCAGTAATCCAACAAGTAATCCACATTATTTCAGGAACGAAGTAATCCCAATCCAGTAATCCCATGATAATTTTAAAATTAATTAATCTGTAATCCGTAATCCATCGAAATTGTTGGGATTGCCCATCCCTGCATACATTTTTTAAACCTAGTTTTAATGCAAGATGAAACTACGGCGTTAAAGTTTGACTATGCAAAAAGGTTTGCATTGAATACGAAAACTATGCAAAATTGAGATACAGAAATTTTGCAAAAATTACAAAAAAATTATTTCATATTCTTTTAAATTTTACAATATGCAAATTAACAATGGTACTTTTGAAACATGGATAAAGTAACAAATTTTAACTTGAGCGTGGACAATAACAATTGACCATTTTTTAAAATTTTCTATGCATGAAAATGCTTTGCAATATGTTTAAACACGCATTAAATTGTGTTTCTGATTAAATAAAGTAATAAATAATCTGAGGACATGTTCTTGAAAGATTTTACTGTTGATGGGGCTCTTAGGAGGGGAGCTTCACCACCTGCCCTTCACAGATCTCGATGCCCTTTGGATATGTTGTAGGGTCCTATGAGTGTACTAAAACCCTGAAGTGGTTTGACTCCATGGCCACATTTGCGCCCGCCACACCCACTCAAAGGCGCCAAAAACACGAAAAAAACCCTGTTTTCATGTACTTTAAATGTCACCAAAAATCCAATTTTGCTCGGATTTTGATAAAATTTACATTTTTGTGATCCCAGACACTTGTGTGATCATATCCAGTAGATATCCCAAATTTTTTGAATTTTTGAATTTTTTCGAGTAGTTCATCAGCTCGAAAATTTCGAAAATTTCAAAAAAGTTGAGATTGCTATTGAATATTATAAGGCAAGTATCTGGGATCACAAAAATGCAAATTTTATCAAAATCCGCGCAAAATTGGATTTTTGGTGGATTTTTGAAGATGGTAACTTTTGTGGTTTTCATCCCTTTGAGTGGGTGTGGCGGGCGCAAATGTGGCCATGGAGTCAAACCACTTCAGGGTTTTAGTACACTCATAGGACCCTACCACATATTCAAAGGGCATCGAGATCTGTGAAGGGCAGGTGGTGACGCTCTCCTCCTTAGAGTGGAAAGTTTTGACACCACATGGTAGCATTAATTTTTCGACGTCACCAGCAAAAAATAAAAATTTCCTAAAAATGTTGTAAAATGAAAGACTGATGTGAGTATAGGTCAGGAAAATTGTTTTTACCGTCCTGTGACATTAGGGTCAGCAGTTAAGCGCCTCTACTGTTTTGGAATACATTAGCCGAATAGCCGAATTATCCGACCTATTTTATTATTTCCCACCACTTATTTTTATTTTAGCGTACAAATCATGCGACACTGAATAAGTTGAACACCAAAATAGAAATAAGTGGTGGGAAATAATAAAATAGGTCGGATAATTCGGCTATTCGGCTAATGTATTCCAAAACAGTAGAGGCGCTTAACTGCTGACCCTAATGTCACAGGACGGTAAAAACAATTTTCCTGACCTATACTCACATCAGTCTTTCATTTTACAACATTTTTAGGAAATTTTTATTTTTTGCTGGTGACGTCGAAAAATTAATGCTACCATGTGGTGTCAAAACTTTCCACTCTAAGAACCCCATCAACAGTATCAAACTCTTAGATTAAATATCAAATCTAAGTTCAATTATAATAAACCGTTGCAAACGAAATGTAGCAAAGGGGTGAAAACACACGGAATTGTCTTTGTGGCACGCCCACAACATCTTTCTGCACTTTCCCGTCATTGTCTCACATTACCCCAAGTCTCATTTTGCCCCGTTTTGACACCCCCACCCGCGTACTTCAAACGCACACGACCATACCTTTCATTAGACACCCCACATGACAAAAGTCATTTTTTCGACATTCGACACCTCCCACACGGTCACAGGGTCGTCGCACGTCGAAATGATGGCGATTTCTGAAATCCCCGTCCAAAAATACGTCTAAAACGGTGGAAACAAAAAATTCGACAATTTCCGACTTTGGCGTCGTCGACACGGTCACAGGGTCGTCGCACGTCGAAATGATGGCGATTTCTGAAATCCCCGTCCAAAAATACGTCTAAAACGGTGGAAACAAAAAATTCGACACCTTTGACCGTTGGAGTCGTCATCGTGACGCCGTGACCTTACGACCTACAACGCCCATCTTCGAACTCATCCCGTCCCCAAAAATTAGAAACACGTTGGCGAAAACCGGATGTCGAAATTCGAATCCGTTCTAAAGTTATCGTGGATACGGACAGACAGATAGACAGACGGACAGACAGACAGACGGACAGACAGACAGACAAGACATTTCCATAAAGGGGTTTTCACCCCTTAATAATGTAACAATTATGATTTACAGCACTTGCATCTTTTAAAACCTGGTTTTAGTATAAGATCAAGCTAAAATAAATCCGGCGTTTAATTGGCGTTTAATTTTGACATTATTATGCAAAACGGTTTGAATATGAAAACTATGCAAAATTGAAATGCAGAGATTCACAATTTTTGCAAAAATTTACAAATTTTATTTCAATTCTTTTAACCTGTTTAAGACAATTTTACAATATGCAATATTTTACAATTATATTTTACAATATGCAAATTAACAATGTTATTTTCGAATGAAACATTGAAGAAAGGACAAATTTAACAATAACAATTGATCATTTTTTTAAATTTCAATGAATGAAAGTGCGTTTCAGTATGGTTAAGCACGCATTAAATTGTAATTCTGTTTAATTTTCATTATACAAATTGACAATGCTATGTTCGAAAAGTGTGCAAAATAACGCAGAAAAACTGCGATATCTGCAGGGAAATGAGCCAGTATTAATATAAATCGGCATCAGTGGTTCAATGGTAGAATGGTCGCCTCCCACGCGATTGATCCGGGTTCGATTCCCGGCTGATGCAGCAAAATTTTTTGCAAATTTTTACTTCAATAAAACTTGCAAATTTGCAACTGAATTTTGCATAGTTTTCATATTCAAACATTTTTACACAAAAAAACGTCAAACTTAAATGCCAGTTTTATTTTTTATTCCCTTTTACATTAATATTTTGATTCAAAAAGATTTCATTGTTACAATTAATTCTGTTATTATTATAGTTTAATTTAAATAGGACTCGGATATTTAACGACAATTAAAAATTTAATAAATAGTAGGCAAGCTAGTGTAATCAAAAATGCCCCATTTTGCGGAAGTGGTGGGGACAGGGGCCGACAGGGGGACAATGCCCCCACGGTTATTCGATGTCCCCACCATGCTATACAAACCCCTCCTTCCCCCCATCCTACAAGGTTTATGTCCCCACAGCTTCCGCGGTCACTGAGCCTTATAAATAACAATTTGCAAATCTTTTCCATTCCATTTGAGACGACACAAAATGAGACTAAAAATCGCATTGCATTGCATGCAAAAAATAAACTGACAAATGAATGGAGCAATTTGAGCCTTTGTACGAGTGGGAAGTTTACCGCATGCTCACATTTTAGATTTTTCAACATGTGCCACTAAATAAAAGTGCTGATTGATTTGTTTTTACAATTTTTAATTCGTCTTGAAGACCAATTTTTAAAAATCTCAATTTTAAAAACTCCATTTAACTCAAGCCCTGTTTTGATTTTAGGTAAGAGAGTTCAGTTCAATTCAGTCGATTTGTTCTTAATTGGGTCAATCTCTAATTACAAATTAACAAGTTAATCCTTTTTAAAATCATTTTTTTTTAAAATGATAGTTTATTAAATTAAAAGAGATTAAGAGATTAAGATTAAAAAATTTTTTTACTCAAATTCAGGATTTAACATTTAATTCAAAAACTAATACTCGAAAGTTTAAAATTCTATTTAAATGTGTCCTTCATTTTCCAGAATCACCACAAAAATGGAGCTCCGGATGCAAGAACAAGAATTAAAAGAAGTGGAAGACGACGACAATGGTAACTCATCAGATGACGAGCCGATGGATATCGACCTTATCCCCACCCCTGATAACCTTCCATCCCCCCCAATTCCTCCTCCCCCACCTCCAACCATCGACCTCTCCCCATTCACCTCCCTCCTCTCCCAACTGGATTCCACTTCCGGCCTAAAATTCTTAAAAGTCGTGGTTGCAAATTTAAAACAATTTTGCAAACTGTTCACAATTCTTCCATCCTCGTCCCCTCAAGCGATCCAATTGTTCCAAAAAGTGACGAAAATCTGTGACAAGAATCACTCCGACGAAAAATGGGACAAGTTTAACCGAAAATTGGGCCCCTTTTCCTGTGAGGGAGAAGTTTTCAAAACGTTGCTAAAATTTGGGATGAAATCCCCCTCGGATCAAGAATCTGGTCATTTTCTTATCTCCATTTTGACCTCATTATTCAAAATCCCGGCCCTTCAGGGAGCAATTATCAGTCCAATTACGGGAATTCAAATGATTCTGAGCCATTCAAAGGCGGAAGATATTTTTCTAGAGTTTCATAAACTCAAGGTCAACCGGAACAAGAAATTGGAACAGGAAGAAGCCATCGAAAAGGGGAAAGATTTCCAGCAAATTAAAACAGCAGTCGTCGTCGATAAGTTAATGTACTCTAAATTGAAGACGGAATTGCTCAAGTTGTGGCTCGTTTTGGTTGAGGGGTTTACAATAATTAGTAAAACGGAGGGGACTCCGGAGGATAAGAAGATTTTGGAGAATTCTGTGCCTTATTTAATGCAGGTAATTTAAATAGGAATTGATACTCAGCACATTTTTAATCATTTCTCGGTTCTGGAAACTTATTTTAAAATTCTGGACGACAAATTCGTAGAACAGGGAGTTGCCAATTTTAGAAAAATGCAAACTCAAGATATACAATAACTCTTCTTATTTTTAATGTAGGATTCGACAATTCATCACTAATATCGTCAAAATCAGGACATTCTTAATCATTTCTCGTCTCTGGGAATTTATTTTAAAATTCTGGACGACAAATTTGTAGTCAGTGAGTTGATTAATGGAATGGCGGCGAGTTTTTTGAACCAGTTTCGACGAGTTCCAATTTTTCTGAAGGCTTACTAAACTTGAGATCTCCTCTTCCAAAAAGTGTCAAAATCTGGAGTGCAAGATTTAAAAAAAATGACAACTCCCTGCTCTTCGTCGTCCAGAATTTTAAAACCTTCCCAGAGCCGAGAGATGATCAAAAATGTACTGACTTTAACAATTTGGGAGATTGAGTCATCTATAGTCCCACATTAATTAAAATTGTTGCTCGTAAAACAATTTTAAAAAATTGTAGCATTTAAAATCCATTTTGATTATTTTGCCGTATCGGTAATTTAATTAGTGGATAGATTGTTAGGTGTTTTGATGCGGTACAAGGTTGCAAATTGCCTAATTTAAAAAATATCTAGTCAATTATTCTTTAAACGTTAAAAAAGAGAATTTTTCAGAAAACGAAGAGCCGATGTTTTTTAAATGAAATTATTTTCCATAAAAAATGAGAATTTGATTAAATTAAGAATGTGCTGATTTTGACGATAAATCCTACATTATTTTTTTCTTTTATCACATTATTAATATTTTTTTTCAAAATTTGACAAATTAATAACCCTCTTTCCTCTCCTTTTCAGATGTACGGCGCCACTCTGGGACCCTCTGATCGACAAATATTCTCAATTTTAAAGTACTATTCTGGCAAAAAGTTGAGAATTCCGCTCGAGTCGATGCCCCTCTTTGGACCCAAGTGTTTCGAAACGGTCAAATTAAACCCTCTCTACGCCCACTCAATCCGAGCCAACGGGATTTTGGGCAGCATCAATGAAACCAAGGCGTTCGACACGGGGTTAAAATTCACGGAAAAGTTTTTACAACTTGACGACGAAAAGTTGGATTCGCAACAAGATTGGGAACAATTTTACGATTTACGCTTCATGCTTCCCTTAATTTGTCACATTTTGGACGAGAAAAATATTTGCGACGTGGTCAAAGTCATTACGAACGGATGGATTCATTTTATAGCGAGAGGATTAAGTTTGAATGATGCGTCGTTACGAAATGCGGCCTTTCTAGCGTATAAAAGACTAATTTTTAATCTACATTTGGCAAAAGTTGGTTCAAATCTTGTAATAATTAATGTAGGACTTGATTATTTATCGTCAAAGTCAGCACATTTTTATTATTTCTAATATATTTTAAATATATTAGAAATTAGATTAGATTAGGGAATATATTTTAAAATTCTGGATGACAAAGTTGTGGAGGAGAGGGTTTCAATTTTTTGAAAATATACAATCCAGATTTTGACACTTTTTGAAGGAGGAGATCTCAAGTTTAAGAAGCCTTCAGAAAAATTGGAACTCGTCGAAACTGGCCCAAAAAACTCAACGCCATTCCATTAATCAACTCACTGACGGCAAATTTGTCGTTCAAAATTTTAACATAAATTCCCAGAGCCGGAAATAAATAAAAATGTGATAAATCATCGAGTCCTACGCTAATTAACATAATTCATCATTGCAAATATGTGAATATTCTTTCTTTTGCAGGGTTTCAGACTTCAAGACGTCAAAATCTGGTTACATTTCCTCCTCGGCGTAAAGAATGGCTTCATTGATCTTGAAGAATGCAGAATGACATCACTCTTGTCAACTTGGATGGTGGCGACTTGTGAAGTCCTCAAACAACCGAGTGACCCCTTGTACTCGAAAGTCACCCATTTTCTCCTTGCCAAACCAACCATCGACCTTACCATCTTACCTGATTTTACACACTTTTTTAATGCCGAGGATGGCACAAAGTAATCAATTAATAATTAACATACTTAATGAATCATTACAAAAATTGTAAAAATCAGCACATTTTTAATCATTTCTCCGCTCTGGGAACTTATTTTAAAATTCTGGACGACAAATTTGTAGTCAGTGAGTTGTTTAATGAAATGGCGTTGAGTTTTTTGAGCCAGTTTCGACGAGTTCCAATTTTTCTGAAGGTTTCTTAAACTTTAGATCTTCAAAAAACGGTAAAAATCTAGGAGTCCATATTTCTTAAAAAAAAATGACAAAAACGTATGAAGCAGGTCGTTGTAAAATTACTCAATCCAGATTTTGACAGTTTTTGAACAAGTTTAGGATTAAGAAGCCTTGCAAAAATTTTAACTTGTCTAAACTGACTTAAAAAACTCACCCCCATTCATTTAATCAACTCGCTGACTACAAATTTGTCATCCAGAAATCTAAAATAAATTCCCAGAGCCGAAAAATGATTAAAAATGTGCTGCTTTTGACCATTTTGATGATTTATTATCGAGTCCTACGTTATTTAACATGATCTTAATTGCAAAATTTGCTATATTAACATGTTCCGTTCCCTTATTTTATCCAGGGAAAGTCGCGAATGGATCCTGAACATTCTCCTCCTCGGCCTACAAACCAAGGCGGATTGGGCCGTGGCGAAAAAAGTCCCTACCATAAAATACATGTGCTGCCTCTTTCCCCACGAAAAAATTCAGACGCAACGAACCATCCTCAAAATCCTGGCCCACGGAGCACAAATTCCCGAAGTTGCGCACGACATGGTAGACCGGCACGGGATTTTATTATGGATCGCGAACGCCCAGCTGAACGATAGGACATATTACCGACGAGAATTGGAAGACATTTACAAAAACCTGAGCATTTCCTGTCCACACGGCGAATATCGTGATTATGCGTTCCAGTTTGTCGCAAAGAGACATAAATGGCAATATATTAGAGAGGACAATCCTGTAAAATTAGAAAAAGATGAAGAAGAAGACAGGAGAATATAGAAATTGTATAAGTTTTTAGTTTCGTAATAATAATGACATGTAAATATTTTCTAAAATAGTTCCCCTAGTTAAACTTAAATAGTGTTTCGTTTCTTGCTGGTGGTTTGCCACATTTCTTGCAGTGCAAAGCAAGCAACGCAAGAAATGCGAGGTGCAAGAAACGACAAGAAATACACACAATTTATCCACGTGCCCTTTAAGCTATAGTTTAACGCCGTTTCTTGCGCCTTGCATTTCTTGCAGGTCAAAATATTTAGCTGCAAGAAACCACTTTGTTGCCATTATTTCTTGCAAATTTTTTGCACCGCAAAGCAAGAAATGCGAGGTGCACGAAACTGGGAGAAACTGCAAGAAATATGCGCCACGCGCCGTATGAAGTATAGAAGCGAACAGTAGTTTCTTGCGCTTCTGATTTGTACATCAATAACGCCGTCAACAATATTTTTTCTATGTTTAAATTGTTTTAAAGAGAAGATCACACAAATGAATTGTATTGAGGGTTTATTATGCTAGATTTCTTGGATTGCAAAGCAAGAAACTACAAAATGTGCAAAAAATATGCGTCATCCAGCCACGCGCTGTATGAAGTATTTATAGCGAAGGGGTGTAGTTTCTTGCACCTTGCATTTCTTGCAGGTCAAAATATTTCCCTGTAAGAAACCACTTACTTTCTTCCCGTTATTTCTTGCAAGTGGCGGATTTGCTACATTTTTTGCACTGCAAAGTAAGAAATGCAAAAATATGCGAGGTGCAAAAAAGTGAAAGAAATATGAATAAAAAAATCCATTTAGCCACGCGCCCGTTGAACTACAGCGGCGTCGTTTCTTGCGCCTTGCATTTCTTGCGCCTTGCATTTCTTGCAGGTCAAAATATTCACCTGCAAGTAACCACTTTCTCCCCCTTATTTCTTGCAAGTGGTTACTTGCACCCGAGCGAAACACTCTTGTAAATATTTCTCCTCGTTAAAGTTAACAAAGCAACTATTAATTTTGTTACATACATATTTTATATTTTTCTTGTCATTCATGTGTCAATTAGAGGACCCATATGTTTCAAATTTTCGCATTTCCTACATATTTCTACTAGCTAGGCTAACTGTATGTATGTATGTATGTAAATCTCTTCTCATCTTCCGTTCAGTCGACCCACATCCGTGATGAATAAATAAAAATAGAGTACAGTACAATACTCGGAACGAAACTCTCTCAACTCAATACATTTCTGATCTCACTCGCTATTTAAACGGGAAAAACATTTTGCATCATCGCCACATCTTCGTTTTGGCTACTTTTCAATTTTTGCACAGTGGCAGTGGAAGCAGGGGGACCGGGGAACATTGTCCCCCCAGAAATTCAGTAAATTATATATTTTCCCTCCTCCAATCCATACCTGTTCATTTTCATTCATTTGACTGATTATGATGGTGAATGAAAATGAATTTCCTGTCATATGAATTGAAATGACTGAAGAATTCTGTCATTTCAGATGAATGACTGTGGATAAAAAGATTTTTCACCCTATGCTTAATACATGTAGCGATGTAAGAAATGAAGTGCGATGAAGTCAAATGAAATGAATTTTGAAATGAAGAAAATGATTGAATATGAATGAAAATCTTCAGTCAGAAATCGGGATGACTGAATTTTGAATGAAAACTAAGTTTTTGAACAGGTATGCTCCAATCCCAGAATGCTAATGCTAATGTTCCCATATGTCCCTCCCCCGACTTCCGCCGCCACTGAATTTTGCATGCATATGTACGAGATTAAAGAAATGACTCAAAAATTCCTCTCTCTCTTAACATCCGACACAATAAGACACGATTTTTTTCAGTCCGTCAGTCAGTGATTGACTCGTCGACATATCTACTCGCTCACTCAGAAATATTTGTAACTCGGAAACATTTAAATCTCAGAAATATATAAAACTCAGAAATATTCAAGCCAAACCATGGACCCCAAAGTGCAAGCCCTTGAGGCTCGAATTCGTGAACTCGATAGAGCCCTGGACCACGAAAAGAAGCGCAGCATGGAGTCGCACAAACAGATTTGTCGCAGGGACCGACGCATCAAAGAGCTCACGCTGGAGGCGGAAGAATACAAACAGAAAGTCAAAGATGTTCAAGTTACTGTGCAAGATTTAGAGAATGAGATTCGCATTTATAAGAGGAGACTGGACGACTCGGTATGGGAATCTTTCGTACTAAAAATGGAGATCCCCCAGCGTATGATATCCGATTTTGAGCAAATTAGTGTCAATCGATGACAAATTTAATTAGGATGAAATTAGGAAAAGACGCGATCTCCCAATGGGCACGTTTGTCCGGTTTGGCAGAGATATTTGCATCCCAAGAGGAGAAACCGCGCCCTTAAGTCGACAAATTTTGCACTTTCCAAATCTACAGAGAAAAGTGGATAGGCCTCCTAAAGGAGACCTAGAAGGTTTAACTCCATAAGGATGCGTAAGCCACGTTGAGAGCCAATAACAGGCAAGGACGAGGTTTTCGCACTTTCTCACCAAAAGTAGTTTTTCAGCTTCTTAAACAATCACAAATATACGTTTGTTTCGATTTTGGCGTCCAACATGTACAATTTACGGCATTTTTGACAAAGTTGGACTCTGAGAATTAAAAAAAGACATAATTAATATTATTTAAATACAAAAACTTTTCTGATTGGCTGTGGATGGGTGGGAGGGGTCGAAAACCACGCCGTCTTCTGTTATTGGTTCTGGCTTTTCAACGTGGCTTATGCATTCTTATTACTCTACATCTTCTATATGAATATATGTTCAATGCCAAATCTACTGCGCGTTTTCTCCTCTTGGGATGCAAATATCTCGGCCAAACGTGCCCATTGGGAGATCGCGTCTTTCGCAAATTTCAACCTGATTAAATTTATGATCCATTGACACTAATTTGCTCAAAATCGGATCCCATATGCTGGGAGATCTCAATTGTAAATTTTAAAATGATTACGGATTTATAACCTTTCCTTTAATTTTGCAGCAAGACATCAGCCACCAAAATGCGAACCGGTATCGAAAAGCGCAACAAAAGTATCAAGACGAAGTCATCAAGATTGAGCAGTACGAGGAAAAAGTCCGTCGACGGAGGGCTGAGCAGCAACAGACGCCCTTATTCGTTCAAATCTAAACATTTTTATTCCACACCACATTTTGTTCTTGTCCCTGTCCAAAAAAATTCGTCCTATTAAGTCCTTCAAAAAGATGAAATTTATCCATAAAATACAGTCAAATGGGAGAAAATGTGCTACAAATGTCATTCCTGTCCCACATTATTCAAAGAACAAAATGCGGAATAATTTATTCCGCATTTTGTTCTTTTTCCTGTCCCAAAAAATTCTGCAAGGAATGTGTCCCATTAAATCCTTCAAAAATGAAATTTTTCCATACAATATGGAAAAAATGTGCTACACACGTGTCATTCCTGTCTCTACATACCTTGTCTTGTCCTTCCTTCCTCAAACAAATAAGTGTTCCTTTGGTTAATTGTTCCGCAATAATTGTTTCTTGTTAAATACATTTGTGTAATAAATTTGTGGTAAATATCAATTATCAAGTGTACTCAAATCTACTAAACATTATTCTACACGGCATTTTGTTCTTTTTCCTATCCCAAAAAAATCTTTGTTCCACAAGGAATTTATGCTACGCAGTCAACAGTTAAAAATCTGGTAGAATGAGATATACATATACTCCATACTGGTATTTATTTGGTAACAAATTCTTATCGGATTGGTAGTAGTTTGTTTCTCGGTGGTAAATTTTTAATTACCACAAAATTACTAAACGGTAGTGCCCATTTTTACCAGTGCCGATATGTATTTCGGTCGGTAATGATTTAATACCAGTTTTATAACTTTTATGTATAACCCTTCAAAACATGAGTTTTTTTCGTAAAGTATGGAAAACGTGTCATTCCTACATCATTTTTCTTCCTTCCTTTAGTTCACTTGTTCCGCAATAATTGTTGTTAAACACATTTATGTAAATAAACATCAATTATCAAGTGTATTCATCTCACTGGCGTCTCTCACGCTGCTGTGGTAAACACGATAACAAAACAAACCTTGACTTGTAAATACATGTTTACTGTTAGCGTCTCTTTAAATGTGAAGAACTCATGAAACTTTGTGCTTTATGTTTAGCCGTTTAGCATTTAGCGCAACTGGATCATGATTTTTTGGCCGTGAAATCATTTAGCAAATTATCTATTTAAATTTATTGCAGCTGCAGAATTTACAGAATTGTTCATTTCTCAAAAACGCCATCATGACGTGGACATGGACGCTTGAATTTTATTTGAGTCTGTGCATTTTTACCGTTTCCGGTAACTTATTATTACCGACCTGCAGACAACATGTCAACGCTAACGGCACGTATCCTCAATTGTAAGTGATTAAAATTAATTGGTAATTAATTAATAGCTCAATTTATGGCACTAATTAATTTGCAGACATGTCAACGCGACGAATCCTCAATTGTACGCAAATAAAAATTAATTGACCCTTTATAAATAATTAATGATTTAAACATTTTTGTATTTATAGACCACGATGCGCCACCAGCATCAAAAATTTCCGGAAGGGGATCCATCTTCGAGAAAGATCGTGGTCGTATGAAAATGACGACGCGACCAGTCTTCTCCCTCCATGGACGGATATCTCTTTGGCCGTGAAAGGACAGCAATTTGCTATCGACCGAGTCCAAGGAATCTTCCAATCCTACCTCTATGGAGTCACGCTTATCTTGGCTAATCCTCAATTAAGGGATACTCTCCTGTTCACTGGTTGGTACAGATATTTTGCACATACATAATGCATTTTTTATCATGCGAATCGACAACTCATTGTCAAAATGGGTCCCAATTAAACCACCCAAGAAAAATATTTTTTTCTCCAAAGAAAATTAATATTTTGTTCCAATTATAGATCTTTCAATTAATTAATTTTTTATTCCAAGATTTTTAGAATAAATTCCAAGCAAATAATAAAAATCTCAATGCATAAAATACAAGATTTACAGTATATATCATAGAAAATTGAAATTAAATTTCAAGGGAATATTAGTCAATCACCAAAGCCTTTCCAACTAACTTCTTCCTCCCACGTTTAAGTTTTGCTCCAACACTATCCGTTTTGAGATTATCGGGGACAGTGATTTTTTCCTTGATAATTACAATGCCAACTATGTGCTTGCAAATGTACTCTTTCTTAAAAACAGGGCAAGTACAGCTTGAAGTAATCCAGTCTGATAAATGGAAATCAATTATCCATAGCTTTGATTTGCTTGTTGAATATGAATCAAATTTTTTCCATGACATTCGTTTTATAAGCCCCAACGTTCTGTCGATTTCCTCTGCACCCATTGATTGTTGTTTGGTCGTACATTGAATACATTGAATAGAATTTGCATCTGTTTTTCTAAATCGCAGTCCTTTTTTTACATTTTGCCCAGGTGTATGATTTAGAAATTAACGAATTAGACTCCGGACTCTCTGGGCTTCTATCTTTCGACCAATTCTGCAAGAACTTTAAGAAGAACTGCAAGAACTGCATGTTTTGAATTGAAAATGGCCAAGGTTTTTAATATACAGTTTTGCCTCGGGCAGGGTATTAAAAGTTTTTGTCCTCTTATAGCTATGGACATGTTTTTGTTTTTTTAGACGTGGTGTATTTTCTTCATCAGAATTTGATTCGAAATTATTTAGTCGTTTAAAACCCTACATTTTTTTGATTATATTATACAATATTTTCAGAGACTGGTCAATCCCGGATTAAGGATTGGGGATTGAGATTGGGATTGGGGATTAATTAATCCTTAATCTCAATCCTTAATCCCGAGTTTTTGAATTTTAATCCTCAATCCCTAATCCCCAATCCAACTCTGTCAACTTTAATCCAAAAGTGGGATTGAAATGGGATTAAATTCGAATTCACTAAAAACTCGAAAAGAAAACTTCTCTTGAGATCGCTCCCCTTTCGAAAATTGATTTCATTTCGTTCATTTTTATCAAACATTTAAAAATACTTTACAATATTTTGCAAAACTACTCCTATCGCGGTATCCTCAATGCACAATGTTCAAATTTTGTGTGAGCTTATAAAGAAATGTGAGTACTCTGACCAAACTATGATCGAAGCTCTTCGTTAAAATAGTACCAAGAATAAAATTAGAATTCTTCCCCTATGTAATTTTTAGCACAAAAAATATTTAATTGCGACTTAGAAATTGTATTCACAAGCGATCTAATATTGCATGCAAAATGTTCAAAAGATTTCATTTTCAGAAGTTCAGAGATTTATTTAATTAATTTAAAAGGCTGGCATAATAATGCACTTTAATGCAAACAATTAATCCACAACTATGTAAATTAATTTCCATAGGTAAACCCTAAATTTAATCCCGTGTCAATCCTAATCCCAGATTAAATTCAATCCCTAATCCCAATCCTTAATCCCAAAATTTGAAAAATTAATCCTTAATCCCCAATCTCAATCCCAAGATTTTAAATTTAATCCTCAATCTCAATCCTTAATCCCAACATCTTTAATCCGCCAGTCTCTGAATATTTTTATGTACGTGACAAGAAGTAAGTGTCTGATTGTGCGTAAGTAAGCTTAAACAGTACTGAGTGAAGATGCAAAGTAATATCGACAGAAAGCTGAATGTGAATGATGGGACACATTTGTACATATAGTCAAAGCATAGCATGCAAATGTAGGCTTGTCTGATAACCAAATTGTTAAATAAGACTCGAATTATTCATCATTGAATATTTCACTATTTCTTTGGAACGTTTTATATTTTCTTTGGAGGAAAAAATTAACTCGATTGCAGATTTCATGATTGCAAAGAATTATTAATTTTCTTTGGAACAAAATATTATTTTTTTGGGCGCAATAAATTTGACCCTTGTCAAAATCAGCACATTTTTAATCATTTCTCCGGTCTGGAAATTTATTCTAAAATTCAATAGTCGACAAATTTTTAGGGCAGAGAGTTGTCAATTAACAAAAATATTCACTCCATATTAATTTTGACACTTTTTGAAGGAGGACAATCTCAAATTTAAGAAGCCTTCAGAAAAATTGGAACTTGTTGAAACTGGCTCAAAAAACTCGACGCCATTCCATTTATCAACTAAAGAACGTCCGGGAATGAATGGGAATGCGCGCTCTAGCGAGTATATTGACAAATCAATAAACCCGCGAACTATAATAATTTAAATTTCTGAAAGCCCACTTCATTAGGGTCAATTTGGTATATCACTCTTAAATTTCAAAAATGGATAAGGGTAGAAGAAGCTTGTTTGAAAGGGAGCTGTTAGCAAAACGAGTGATGGAGTTCTACAACACGACAGCCAACCGAGACTCCAAGGTGACCTGGAACTTTTTTAAGCAGGAAGGAATTCCAAGTTCAAATGTGTATTCCTACATAAAAAAGTTCAAGGATTCCGAAAATGTGCAATTCAAGAAGCCAGCTGGTCGTCCGGCGAAGCTAGCGACCACTCGAGTGAAAAATAGAATTGAAAAAATTTTCAAAACCAAGCCATCAACGTCAGTAGCTGTAGCTGCCAGGAAAGTCAAAATTTCCAAAAGCTACCTGGGGGAAATTAAGGTCCATAAATTAGGAATCAAAGCAAGGACCAAAAAACCTGCACCAAATTACAAGCCCGTACAAGAAAGTCGGATCAAGGATTGCTGTCAAAAATTGTTGAAGAAAATGCGTGGAAAAGTAGTGATCCTGGATGACGAAACGTATGTTCCGGTTGACCCTTCAAATCTTCCAGGGCGTCATTTTTTTCATAGCTCGGATCCCTCTGAAGTGGCTTATGAAGAAAAAGTACGAAAAAAAGACAAATTTCCAAAGAAATATTGCATTTGGCAATGCATCTCCAGTCACGGACATGTATCAGACCCGGTAGTTCTCGAAGGGAATATCAATCAAGATATTTATCTGAAAAATTGCGTCAAGGCTGGATTGGAAGCATTTATTAATAGGTTTCACAAAAATGATAAAGTTTTGTTTTGGCCTGACCTCGCCACTTGTCACTATGCAAAGAAAGTGACCGAGTACCTCAGAAAGAAAAATATTGATTTCGTACCAAAAGATATCAACCCACCTAATGTACCCCAACTCCGCCCAATCGAAAAATTCTGGGCACGTTCTAAGTCAGTATACTCCCGGCTTCAAGATGTGCCTGACACCTTTCGAAAATTCAAAGGACGATGGAAGAAAATCACCTCGGAAGTGGCAAAAACTTCGGGAAAAAATTTAATGAAAAATCTTCGCAAGAAAATCGAACTAGTCGCCAACGGGGGTGTGGCGGCCTTAGCTATTAATTAAATTATGTAGGTACGTATTTGGTATTATATATATGCAAAAAGTTTAAAATTCCGATAACTCATTGTGATTTTATGACCACATTTTCAGACCATTCCCATTCATTCCCGGACGTTCTTTAACTTACGGCAAATTTGTTGTCCAGAATTTTAAAATATATTCCCGGAGAAGAAAAATAATTTAAAATGTGTTAATTTTGACCATTTTGGTAACGAGCCATCCAGCCCTACGTTACAAACCATCCATTTGTTGCTTTTTATTACGTGTTACCAATTTGCCAAATAAGTCCCTTCAAGATTTTTGAGCAAAAATCAAAAAACTCAAAAAATTGCATTATTTCAAAAATGAAAATTAAATTTTCTAAATTTATTCATAGTAAACATATCCAAGACCCTACCTGTTTTATCTGCTATCTAACTTAGATTATGTGAAATTCTTATGTTTGTAAGTGGCTTTAAAATCTTACAATTTTTAGCTAGGTTACATTTTTTATATAAAAAACTCACAATGGAGGCGCAAACCATGTTCATCCGGGATTATTGTTTGACCATGTTATGGAGGAAAGGAGTTAAGGAAATTTTAGAAATTTGGAAATTTTAGGGGGAGCGAATTAAATTATTTACTTTTTCCAAGCCAGGACGCCCACCTCCCGTAAATGTTGTGCTCTAATAATAAAAGGTAGTTCAAAATCAGATTATTCCAGGTAGATAATTAACTCTGGTATTTGTAAACTGTGTGCAAAAAACCTTGCAAAATTATATATTGTACTTACAACTTTTACAAAACATTTGTAAAACGTAAAAGTAATCTTTGTGAAATTAATAAAAATTATTTTGCATACAGACACTTCATTCGGATATTGTATGCAAAAATTTTGCAAACATATTGTCCAACTTTTTGCAAAATATTTAGAAACCGGTTTGATTGTTCAAAAAATCCTTTAAAATTATTTTCAATTAGACATTTGCATATGAAAATTTGCAAATGCAAACTTTGCTAAATTATGCTACAATTTGTGTTAAATAAATGTGTATGCATAACACAACATCGATTTTTGTAAAGTTTACAATTCTAAATTTCCTACAGTTTACTACAGAGTTTGTCAGTGCCATTCCATTTATCAACTCACTGACGGCAAATTTGACGTCCAGAATTTTAAAATAAATTTACTGAGCCGAGAAATGATAAAAAATGTAGTGACTTCTTGACAGTTTTGACCATAAATCATTGAGCCTTACATGCATTTTTTACCCAATTTATTCCCCCATAGGAAACTCTGACACTGTTCCAAAATCGAGCCGCCGTTATGCCGCCACCGTACTGCAAATCTCTCTCTGGATTCGGCGTGCTTTATCCAAAGAGTCGATAAAACTTGCCGGACATGAAAACTGGGTGTTGGAATCCATCTCAAAAGTCCGTCGTATTCACAACCAGGTCGGATTTCTGATCCAGGGCGCCCTTAAGAATAAAACTTTTGCAAAATATGACTCTTCCTCGGGCAAACAAATCGATACTGAACTCTGGACCGCGTTCGAAAAGGATTTGACCCCATTTAAGGACAGGGATGGTCAAAATCCTGGGTCAAAATGCAGTATTTTGAGCTCTGTTCATCCCCAGGGTTAGGATTTCTGGGTGTGTTCTGTTACACCCACTAAAAAACGAAAATCAACGTGGAGAAGGTAACAATAAGTGGAAAAAAAGAAATTATTTATCTATCGCGGTCAAAATACTTTATTCTTCCATTTTTATAAAAAATAAACTATGTTCACTGCGATAAATAGTAAATTAAATTTCTTCAGAAAACATTTCTGAAAATTTTCAGAAATGTCAAGACTTTGACGCCAGAAAAATAAATTCTGGAGAATTTCAATACGTTCAAAATACTGTCAGATATTGATTGTCATTCTCAAAAATCCAATCCATCCAAATCCAACTCAAAGAACGTACCTCAAAATCCACGATTTTTTTCAAAATTCATGTTTTCACGATTTTTATAAGAAATTTAGTATTTTGACCGCGATAAAAGGTTAATTTCTGCACAAAACTTGCATTTTTGCATGCGTGTTGCCTTCTCCACGTAGATTTTCGTCTTTTTGTGGTTATTCCACCCTCCGAAATCTAAACCCTGAGGAAGAACAGAGCCCCACAAAATACTCTATTTTACCCCAGTATTTTGACCATCCCCCTGCTTATTAAGTCCAGATATCCGCCCCCTCCTCCTCCCCAAAATTATTCGCACGAAGACGGCACCCACCCCATGAACCAGCTAACCTTTGCCACCACGCAGTGGGCCTTCATGGGCCTCACCATCATGAATCCCTCCAACGTGAACGTGTACGACGTCGCTGACGACGGATTACAAGCCTTCGCCCATCTCTGGGCCGTCCTCGGGTACGCCATGGGGCTCGAGGACGAGTTCAACTTGGGGTTCAGAAACGGAAGAGAAAAATTGGTCAAGCTAAACCAACAATTTTTTCGAAACTATGTAGCCCCACATTTATTCAGGTTGACGGATGAGAGCAAATTGTTAATTGAAGCTTTCATCAAGGTAAGGGAATTTATTGGAAATTTAAATTGAGGAAAATTTTGGAAACATTTCATCACATTTTTGCAATGGTGGATAAAATACTTTGTCAAAATGCAGTATTTTGTGAAGCTCTGTTCTTTCACGGGAATTGGATTTCCGGGGCTGTTACACCCACAAAAAGACGAAAATCTCAGGCAGCATTTGTATGAAAATATGTACATGTTTTGTGTAGAAATTTACTTTTTATCGCTGTCAAAACACTGTATTTTTTAAACAAGGTATTTTTCCAGGGATGAAAAGCAATATCTCTTCACAAAACCTGCATTTTCATTCAACCGCTGTCTGAGATTTTCGTCTTTATGTTCATGACCCTCGGAAATCCAAGCTATTCGAAGCAGTGGTCAACAGCGACCAATTTTCCTGAACGAATTTTGATTATTTTTTGGCTGCGTCGGAATTTTGAAGGAATCTTAATTCAGATTTATCGGGGGTGGCGGTGCCTAAAATGCATCAATGTCAGGCGGCGTGACAGGGGAACATTGACCCTTTGTCCTCACGCGTCCGCTGCCACTGGTCAGGCAGCGTGGCGGCATTTGTGACGTCGTATGATCTTTGGCGTTGTAGGATCTATGGCATCGTACGATTTATGGCGTCATACGATTTATGGCGTTATAGGATCTGTGGCGTTAACTTCAGCTTAAAAATAACGGAGCACAAAACACTGTTTCTTGACAAAGTATCTTGACCATGAAATTTTGAATTTCAATATTTTTCTTAGGTGAAGCTATGGTGATCTAATGACTAAAAAACACCTAAGTATGCATTTACTACAACTTTCAAAAGTGACAAAACCACATTACTTTACCATTTCTTAACCGATTTTTATGGAATAAGTGCCTAGAGTTAATTATGATTCTCTACTTTTGGATTCCAACTTGGCACGGTTGTAACCCTACCCATTCCTGAGATATTCTCAAAAAACACCCTCCAAAAAGTGATATTGCTGCCTATGAAAAATTTGAAGGGCTAAATCAAAAATGTACTGTGAAAAAAAGTTTCTAAATATTTTTAGCTTTCAATAAACCTTGAGATAATCAAAATCGGATAAGAAACGACTACGATATTCAGGAACAAAGGTACCACTGCTCACGTGGTGGTATTGCTATGGTTTGTTGCTATTGCAAGTATTTTAATCGCACTTCACTTCGCTTCACCTAAGCCGCCCGTTTTAGGGATCTATCTTGTAAATTCTGTTTACAGGGAGCCGCCCACATCTTGGAGGGCCTCGACCCGGAATATCTTTTGCGAGGAATTCTCCGCGACGTGTTTGGAATTTGGCCGAAAAATATGAACGCCCGGATGAAAATTTCTGAGATGTGGTCCGATTTTTTACTAGGAAATGGATTCCCACGCTGGATTCATGCCGTGTTTCCGGGTCACGACAAAATCGTGTCGCCGCTCTTTAGCTTGTACCATTTCAAAGTGGGGTTCACCCATTTTGGAGCGAGGTACCGGTCGGACGAAGATATCGCGAAATATTGCTATTTTTACGAAGAAAAACTTTGAAGATTTGAAATTCAAAATTTGTATGAAGCGAATTTTGAAATTTTTACGCTAATGAGCCACAAAAAAGTATATTATGTACATAATATGTATGTATCAGTCATTTTTAAAAAACTTGACAAAAAACTGCAAATTACTAATTAATTATATTATAAAAATTTAAATTGCAATCAATCTTGGAGCGAGATACTGGTCGGATGAAGAAATTGCGAAATATTGCTATTTTTACGACGAGAAATTTTGAAATTTTAATGTTTTTATGTAGCTTTTTTTGAAATTGCTACACTTATCAGACAAAAAATATATTACTTAATGTTTTCAGTCATTTTTTTTAATATGAATTGCAAAAAACTGTTGATTGTTAATTAACTAAATTTTAAAAATGTATGATTTTAGAGTGGGCATCACTTTTTGGATGAAAATATATCGCGAAATATTGCTATTTTTAAGAAGAGAAATTTTCAAATTTGCATGAAGTGAATTTTGAAATCTTTACGTTTATCAAACCAAAAAGTTTATTATTTAATAATCTATATCAGCCATTTTAAAAAACTTAAAAAGTGACAAAAAGTATTAACCGTTAATTAAATTTTAAATATTTAAATTACAATTCTGATTATCATCCCTTTTCCACTATGCGTTCCTGGACGTACGTCGTAATTACGGAAATGTCCTTTAGGCGAAAATTGTACTCTTCCACGACTGCCGAACCTGTGAAAAGTTTAGAGTTTTTAAATAAAAATCAGGATTTCTTAATAAAAATCAGGATTAATTTAATAAAGCCAGGATTTCTTAATAAAAATCAAAATTTTAAAATAAAAGTCTGGATTATTTTTAATAAAACCTGGATTTTTAAATAAAAATCTACAGTTTTTTTAAATAAAAATCTAGATTTTTTAGTGTATAAATTTATGAAAACTCACTGTCTGGATACGTAAGCTCAAAAATAATCCCAAAAACACCTCTCAACCTTTGTGCCACCTTTTCAAAAAATGTGCTTCCTCGTTTCACAAATCGACAGCTTTCAAACCTAAATCATACCAAAAAAACATGCATTTTTTTCATCCCGACTGAAAAATAAAATAAAATACAATAAAAACCTACTTAATTCTCGAATCTGAAAAATTCTTCCGTACGAACTGCTGAACTTGATCCTCTTCACTTTTTGGGATGTAAATACAGCTCTTGAACTCGCTCTCTTCCACGCCAAGCACTTCGCCGAAGCGTTTCAGCGTCGTTTTCGAATTCGCTTTCCATTTCTTCCAAGTCGATTTTTCCTTCGTTTTCTTCACCGCTAACAAGTGCGCGTCCTTATACGTGAACGTGCAGCACTTGAACCTGGGTGTCGGTACGAAAAAATTAAGTAATTAATTAATTGTTAATTAATTAATAATTAATTAATAATTATTTTTAATAATTAATTATTAATTAATAATTATTTTTAATAATTAATTAATAGCTAATTAATTAAATATAGCCTAATTAATTAATACTTAATTAATAAAATATAACCTAATTAATTAATAATTAATTAATTAAATGTAGCCTAATTAATTAATTAAGTATGTAGGACTCGAATGAATCATCATCAAAATCAGGACATTTTTAATCATTTTTCGCCTCTGGGAATTTATTCTAAAATTCTGGGCAATAAATTTGTGGAGCTGTCAATTAAAAAAAATATACACATCAAGATCACCACGTTTTTACGCATTTCTGGACTCTGGAAATTTATTTTAAAATTGTGGACAATAAATTTGTAGAGTTGTAGACATTTTCAATTTAAAAAATATGCATATCAAAATCAGCACATTTTTAATCATTTCTCGCCTCTGGGAACTTATTTTAAAATTCAGGACGACAAATTTGCCGTCAGTGAGTTGATTGATGGAATGGCGTTGAGTTGTTTGAGCCAGTTTCGACGAGTTCCAATTTTTCTGAAGGCGTTTTAAACTTGAGATTTCCTCCTTCAAAAACGGTCAAAATCTGGAGTGCATATTTTTTTTAAATTGGCAACGTCCACAGATTTGTCGTTCAGAGTTTTTTGTCAAGTTTTTTTTATGCACATCAAAATCAGCACATTTTTAATCATTTCTCCCCTCTGGGAATTTATCTTAAAATTCTGGAGAATAAATTTGCACAGCTGTAATAGACGTTGCCAACTAAAAACAATATACACATTAAAATCAGCATATATTTAATTTTTAAATTCTAAATTCCCATTTTTTTATGCATGAGAAATAATTTCATCATCGTCAAAAAACGACTCGTCTAGATTTTTCGTTTTCTCAAGAATTATCTAACGTTTAAATTCTTGAATAAATATGCTTTTTTTAATTACGGAATTAACACATCTGTCAACATAAGATAACTAAGCAATCTATCAAGTAAAAACTATATTACCGATTCGGCAAAATAGTTAAGATCGGATTTTAAATGCTACAATTTTGTAAAATTGGTTAATTAAATTAACGAAAATTTTAATTTAGTGTGGGACTCAAAGACTTATCTCTAAAATTGTTAAAATCAAAACAATTTAATCATCTCTCCGCTCTGAGAATTTATTTTAAAATTCTGGACGGCAAATTTTGTAGAGCAGATCGTTGTCAATTTTTAAAAAAATATATACTCCAGATAGGGGATTCAACACCGGTTTTTCAAAACCGGAAAAACCGGAGAAAAACCGGTTTTCGGTGAAACCGAAAACCGGTTTTGGCAAATCTGAAAACCGGATTTTCGCCAAAATTTAAAATTTTTAAACGCTATCATTTTTCGAATTTTGAAGCTATTTAAACAAAATAAATAACATTCATGCTTAAAATGAAGGCCTGTAATTATTTTGCAAAACCATTTGATAATTTTTAACAGAATTTTGCTATTTTTTTGAATTCACACAATTTAAAAAGTTTCAAAAATAATCAACAAAATTAAAAGCAACGAATTTGAAAAACTACATAAACTATTCGGTCGTGGTCGTGGGTTCGTATCCCATTGTGATAACCAGTTTGTAACCTCTTCCGTGTTTCATTCATAAATTAATACTCGGAACTTCAAATTTCTATTTGCATAAATTATATTTTCGAATAAATTTCGAATGTGGTTCTAACCTAGAAACCCGTGCAAAAACCTGAAATTATAGCATTTTAACAGCTTTAAGTTTTGGCTGAAAATTTTATGAATACGTATTTTGAAGTCATACATGTGTAAATATGTACGTATCTATGTGCGGTCCGACTTGTGCATTTAAGAAAATGCTTATCTTGTCCAATCCAGACACAAATTTCTCGGGTCGAAATCCAAGGCATATGTCACAGTAAGGTTGCTTGTGTAGGCATTCACTAAAAATATTCAACCTTGCAAATGGGTAAAATCTTAAAGATGACACACTGGTCTATTTTTTATCTCATTTCCTACAAATCTAGTATTTTCTTCTGGATTACATATCGAAGTGGATAGTGCTTTCCTATAATTTTTAGAATAAAACTAGGCTTCGGTTACATATTTACAATTAATTGGCATCTTAAATATTACGTTAACAGATAATCCATTAAGTTGGCATATTTATTTCCTCAAAGAATTAGAGAAGGTAAATTCTTTAATTAGTTGACGTTTTTCGTGCATCTTTACGTTAAGCCATTGTTCTTACAGTTAGGGCTGTTAAACCTACGATACCCACATATTTAACTTTTCTACCCCTCTAGTGCACAAAATATTATTTTAAAAAAACGGTGAAAAACCGGTTTTTCACCGGTTTTGGTGGGTGGAAAACCGGAAAAACCGAAAACCGGTTTTCAGAAAAGGGTCCGGTTTTGAATTCCCTAACTCCAGATTTTGGCACTTTTTGAAGGAGGAGATTTCAAGTATAAGAAGCCTTCGGAAAAATTGGAACTCATCGAAACTTGCAAAAAAACTCACCGCCATTCCATCAATCAGCTCACTGACTAAAAATTTGTCCAGAATTTTAAAATAAATTCCCAGAGGAGAGAAATTATTAAAAATTTGTTAATTTTAACGATTTTGGTTACGAGTCATTGACTCCTACGTTACAAACCATTCATTTCATGCTCTTATCACGTGTTACCAATTTTCGAAATAAGTCCCTTCGACATTTTTGAGAAAAATCAAACAAAAAATTTGCTTAGTTCAAAAATAAAATTCAATATTCTACATTTATTCAACGTTTAAAACGGTTTCAGTGAAACCCCGTTTGTTCGATTTGTCATCTGAATCTAATTGTGCGTAATTCTTATTTTTGTAACTGACTTTAAAATCTTACAATTTAAAAAAAATTTTGAAAACTAAAATTTATCTTGAATATTTCTTAATTAATATTAAAAATAAAATGAAATAGTCTTAAATATTTTACGTGATAAATCTGTACAAGAGAGCTTAAAAATCACGAAATTAAAAGAACTTTACTCCAATTATTAAAAAATATTTAAAAATAATGCTTGATTTCTGAAAATTTTAAAAGTTTTTCATCTCTATTTTAAATATTTTTAATTCTTCATTAATTATTTAAAACAAGCAAAATTTACACTGTAGCACATTAAAAATTTTTCGAAGATAAAAGTTTAAATCCCAATTTTTTTAGACTATCTCAATCAAATTGCGATTTTCACCAACTTTTTAACCTGCAGAGCTTCTGAGTTAATTTTATTTTTTAAATTTTCAGGTTGATTTTTACCAAAAAAAAATCTTTCCAAAAATATTTCTCAAAGTGTTAAAATGTTAAAATGTTAAAATGTGACAGTTTTACATCGCCAGGACTCAGATTTCTCTGCTTTTCAGCCTCACATGGCGACTTCTTGCCATAATTTCGTAGCAAGTTGTCTCATCCCCACAGAGAACGGACTCTGCTAGGGGCTGTACACAGTGACAACGGTTAACGGTTTATCTTCAATCTAATAATAAAGACTCACTTTATGCTCAAATTTCCCAAAATATTGTTCAATCTGTCCGCTTCGCGAGCCGCATTTTTCGCATTCGTCGTCCCATTATCGATGGACGCTTCCTCGATACCGGACCCCGACGATTTGAGGACGCTCTTCGCCCCCAGCGTTCTCGCCTTTCTGTCCGAAGCGTATACGAATTGATGATTAGACGGGGATGCCGACGTCCCACGCGTCCGGGGGATCGACATCGACTTGGCTTTACTGCTGCTGGACGAAGCCATAATATTTTTCAGACTTAATTTCACACTAAATAAGTTCCTAGAAACTTATTTTAAACCGAATTTGTCACAAAAGTTTCTGAAGACTTTCTTAAACGGCTTTGTCACAACAGGTGTCACACTAATTGTTCAATAATGTGCATTCTTAAAACGACTTTGGCACTATAATTTCCTGAAAACTTCTTTTAAATGATTTTATAAGTATAATTTTCTAGGAGTTTTTTAAAAATGACTATGGCACAATAAGTTCCTGAAATTTTTCTTAAACGACTTTGTCACAATAAGTTCCTGAAAACTTTTTCTTCTTAAACAACTTGGTCACTAGAATTTCCTGAAAATTGTTTTACAACGAATTTGGCACAATAATCTCCTGAAAACTTTTCTTACACGACTTTGTCACAATAAATTTCTGGAAACTTTAAAAAAAACGACTTTATCTCAGCAGGTGTTTCACTAATTGTTCAACAATGTGCGTAGAAATTGACTACCTAACCTAAACAGCGTGTTGTCGTATTCTATTAACTTAACTTCTCTCCCATAATAATAACGCGTATATGTAAACTTGTTAGTAAACATTCACTAACTATAACGACCCCAGACCAAATATGACCAGTCAATTCTTAGCTTTTTTCACCTCCTCTCGTACATATGTAACTTCTTACTTGGTAAATAAATAAGCTAACTAACTAACTAACTGAATAAGTAATAACATTCGCTGTGCAGGAGAATTGATGATACATAAATATTGTTACGACAAGTGCAAGCAACACGTATGTATGTATGTAATTGTACATTTGTATGTAGAGGCGTAACGTATAATGCATGCTGATAACTCGTTATGCCAATAATTTCATGCTCTGCATACGTATTGGTTGCCTCTTCTTACTTATATCAGCTATAATATTATTAGCATACCTGGGATGCAGCCTGCATTCCGATGGGTAGACGTGGATGATAAGGTGCAGCAGCACTATGTATGATAATGTAAAATAGATGATGTCAGCCAAAGGTGCGAATGGTAACTAACTAAAAACCAAAAACATTTTGCTACACTCTGATAAAATATTAAGTCGAGTTTGTTGCAAAAATTACTTAACCAAAAACCACAAGCAGATATTTATTGATTAGAGGCATGTGTACATTTTTGGGACAGACTCCATGAGACAAAGTACCAATGGTTCTACGTAATACAGGAGGATTTAGTCGATTTTTTTACTATTACAAATTTTATTACTTATTTTGTACACGAGTTATAAATATAAATGTCACCGTATGAATGAGAATCATGAAACAATTTACAATTCATACGAGTAAGGAAGTAAACCTAGAAATTTAAATTCGCCCGAAAAGTGGACCACTGCTGACGTACATTCGTAAATATAAATGCATAATGTACATACATGATTTTTTTATACATTTTGGAACGTATGTAACATGTGTAACATATTTAAATTAGTGCCTCGTGTAAATTATGTGGCATCAGTTTCATTAAATAATCATTAGTTACTTATGCAATTTGGGCAGGATTTTGTCCATAAATGTGTAAAACAACTACTAATTAAGAGACAATTCACTGTTAAGTAATTATCTTTGTTTTGTAAATGGCACGTTTAAAATCACGTGCATTTGGTGAGTAATGTACATAAATTAAAGGTCATGACACTAGTAATGAGGCGTCAGTTTCACTAAACAATCACTACTTATGGCATAAAATAATGAACAATTACTACATCATTAAGAGACAGTTAGTTAACCATAAAGAAATTGGTGCTTTGCAAACAGCACATTTAAAATTATCGATATGTTCAGAGTTCAGAGTAAAGTACGAGTGGGGAATTTCATCCCCCGTTGACTCTGACGATGTCACTCCAGAGCGATGACGAGACCCCCAAGAGAAAAAAGGATGAGAACAAAACAGAGCCAAAACGTGATCACCAAATGACGATAAAATTTCTACAATAAATCATGACACCAATAATGAGGCGTAAGTTTCTTCACTGAATACTAATCAAATTTGGGCAGCATTTTGTCCAAAATATTATGTATAAAATAACTACTAATTAACTGTCCAGGAGTCAGTGCTTTGCGAACAGCACCTTTAAAATTATCGATGTACTATTTCTCAAATTAAAATACGAATGTGGATTATCATTCCCAGTTGACGTAGACGCTGGGGATGTCATTCCGACATAAATCAGCGTGACGACGAGTCCTCCCAGACAAAAAAGTATGAGACCAAAACAGACCCAAAACGTGATCATGGCCAGACCACGGAATGGTGATAAGGGTTCGCGAATCTGTACCGGAAAAAATTCCCCCGTCTCCCCAATAATCCCCCCGCCGTTGCATTACTCTTTTCCTTATCTATGAAATCTCTCCTCTTAAAGTACTTCTGGTTCGGGTTCGTATGCATAAGATTTCACTGAATATTCATGAATTTTGACAGGATTTTGTTCATAAATGTATAAAATAACCACTAATTAAGAGATAATTAATTAACTATCGAGTAATTAATGCTTTGCGAACAGCACCCTTAAAATTATCGATGTACTATTTCTCAAATTAAAATACGAGTGGGGATTATCGTCCCCAGTTGACGTTGACGTTGGCGATGTCATTCCGACGTAGACCAGGGTGACGACGAGTCCTCCCAGGCAAAAAAGTATGAGACCAAAACAGACCCAAAACGTGATCATGGCCAGACCACGAAATGGGGATAACGGTTCGCGAATCCTGTACCGGAAGAAGTTGCCCCCATTGCTCTTATCCTTATCGAGGAAATCTCTCCTCTTAAAGTACTTCTGGTTCGGGTTGGGATGCATGAGAAGGACGGCTTTCTTCCCAGCTTGGTCTTTGTTTTGATGCGAATTATTATGCAATCCTGCTGGAAGAGGTTGATTATTATCTTCTTCTCGTAAACGCCAATAATTTCCTGCAGAGTTGGGAAGCGAGTTTGGTAAAAAGTCCACTTTTTTACCAGATTTTTCCGTCATTTTTGTTCCGTCTGGTAAGAAATTTAGAGTAAAAATACATACAACTTTACAGATAATCTTACATATTTACATATAACTGCTTTTAAACCATAATCTTACCTATGTATGCAAATTATTCGCAAAAAATATTGCAGAGAAAAATCCCACAAAATGTCATCATCAAAAGTTACATGATTTTAAGTTTGCTAATAAATCATTTTCTTATTCGTCTGACGATAAACGATAAGAAATTTAGAATAAAATACACCCAATTTTAATCTTTTAAAACCATATTAATCTCACTCACCTATGCAAATTATTCGCAAAAATATCGCGGAGAAAAATCCCAGAAAATGACACAATCAAGATTTACCTTGTTTTAACTCAACTTTGGGAACTTTCCGTGGTTTGATTGGGTTCCAGTGGAAAATAATTTATCCGTTCGAGTGAAGATATCAGGTAGCAGCAAATATTGAACCGGACTTGCGATAAGAAGCCAGCCAATACTGCGTGTCAAGAGGATTAACTAAACATAAAGTCGTGTTGGATTTCACTTCTTCTTAAACAAGATTACAACCCGTCCGTCACTTCACTGATAAACAAAATAAAGTACCGTGATTAATTTTATGGACGAAACTTGAGCAGCTTAAAAAGTGAGGTCTTATTATTGACTACTCCTGCTAAATAATACCGGATAGCTTAACGATCCACCCATCCATGTAAATAATTAACTGGAGCAGATTGCTTACATACGTATGAAATACTGACTCAGAAATGTATATATGTATAATCTTACTTACATACTCCAGTTGGCAGATTTATTGCAAATATTTCTTTTTTGCTATGTCAGCAAATCTGATAATATTTATGGTCTAGTTTATTTATGGCAATCTCAATCTCTAGAATGTAGTGCACAACAAGACGAAGAAGAAGAAGAACGATTCACGATTTTTTTTACGTACAAGGTGATCATCAAGGCGAAGAAATATATGTATTTAATTATAACGTGGCTTAATGATACTGATATCAACCACCAGTTATAAAATAGTCGACTTAACTACAAATGTGATCACGACACCACGCCGTCTAAATATTTTGCAGTGATGATGGTGGTGGTGTGGTGCAGATTAGATGCTCATGTAAAAGTGACAACTTTCGCTATTTTTTCTTCATTTGTTCTTTCCTGCAAGGGTCCCTTAAATAAAATGTTCTACACATACAATGTAAAGAATGCGTGGTTTACAAATGTTTGGAGGGATGCAAAAAGTTTGCAAAAAATGAGAGTGGATCTGATGTAAAGTAACAATGTTTAAGCAGATGTGTGCAAATTATTGAAATTACAAAAGTTACACGATTTCTAATTCAAATTCAAATCTGTTAGTTCCTTTGTAATATTATGGAATGGTTACACAATTGTATTTAATTATAAAAAAATATGAAAAGTAGAGTGTAAAAAGTGGGAAGAATACATATTTAAAAAAATGGGGTACATATTTTTAAACGCTTGGAAGGAATATTTATCAAAAAATGGGAAGGAATATTTTGTTAAAAAATGGGAAGGAATATTTTGTTAAAAAACGTGAAGGAAGGAATATTTATCAAATATTTTTTTAATGGGAAGACAAAATTTTCTGAAAAATATTGCATATTTTTAATCAAAAGTGGAAGAAATCCTTTCTTTAAATGCGGCCCAGCCCCTTGTTCGAAACTGTTCCGCGACCTGGGTCCATTCTGCTTTCGGTTGGGCGAGAATTCCACGCCCCACAATGATCACGTCCGCTCCACGGAGAAGAACGGCTGAAAATTAATAATTGACATCAATTTTTACAAATATTACAAGAATTTTACAAATTTAATTTGAAAATATAACCCTGCAACTTGTAAAATTTGCAAATTTCTAACTTATAAATTTCAAATTTTGTCTAATTGTATATACAATTAGACTAACCTTTACAAATAAATAATACAAAAGAAAGTTACAAATTTAATTCGAAAATATAGCTCTGCATTTTGAAAACTTTGCAAATTTCTAATTTATAAACTTCAAATTTGCAAAACTTTGTCTAATTGTACTCAATTTTACAAATAATACAAGAATTTTACAAATTTTATTTCTAAACATAGCTCTGCATCTTAAAAAATTTGAAAATTTCAAATTTGTAAAACCTCGTGTAATTGTACTATTTAAATTTAACAAATAGTACAAGAATTTTACTAATTTAATTTGGAAATATAGTTCTGCATCTTATAAAATTTGCAAATTTCGAACTAACAAATTTCAAATTTGTAAAATTTGGCCAGGACATGGCATATAAATCAAAATTAGACCCCTACCATTCTCCACGGAATTGTAAACCTGTCCGAGTCCATCACCCCCAGTTCCAGAATTAAGAGAGACGCCCGGCGTGAATTGGAGGGCGTATGGGGTCGAATTTCCTGCCAGTGGTCGTGCCTGTGATACGAATCCAGCCACGAGGGGGGAATACTCACCCTCCGCCATTTTGTAGATCAGGTTCTTGTATTCTGTTAAAATTAACGGGTTTTCATCAGTTTTTTTAGTTTTATACTATACAATTCGACTACCGAGTTATTGTGAGTCAATTTGTTTCCAAAATTATGAAAATTAAGTAAAAAAAAATAGACGGATAGTCTGTTTCCCGAAAAATTCGACCCTTCCATAAAATGGAGGTCTTCGATTTTGAGCAAATTAGTGTCCATCCATCACAAATTTAAATAGGATGAAATTTGCAAAAGACGCGAGAAATGAGAAACAAAAATTTGTCTGGAAAAGATTCCATAAACAAATTATTTTTAAAATTATGTAACAGAATTTAAAAAAATTAAAGGTATGAAAAGTTGTTAATACCATCTTAATATTTTGAAAATGATTCCCCAATATTATTTTTAATTCCAATTTTCTTACAATGGGGTTCTGTCCCAGCGTATGCTCTCTAATTTTTGGCAAACTACTGCGAATCTATCATAAATTTAATTAGTATGAAATTTGCAAAAGACACGATCTCCCAATGGGCACGTTTGGCAGAGATATTTGCATCCCGAGAGGAGAAAACGCGCAGTTAATTCGGAAAGTGTAAACTTTGTCGACTTTTGGACGCATTTTCTTCTCTTCGGATGCAAATATCTCGGCCAAACGTGCACTCTAAGAAACCCGGTAAGTTATTACCAGGCGGAGTATCTATGTGACTCTACCGCATGGTAATTAATTTATTATTGAGTGGTAGAAAATTAGTTACCAACTGGTAATATTTTCAAATTTCGCGATCGGGGTTATTACCGGTTCGGTAACAAAACATCTACCACTCAATAATAAATTAATTACCATGCGGTAGAGTCACATAGATACTCCGCCTGGTAATAACGTTGTTACCGGGTTTCTTAGAGTGTGCCCATTGGGAGATCGCGTTTTTTTTTTGCAAATTTCATCCTAATTAAATTTGTGATGGATTCGCAATAGTTTGCCCAAAATTGGAGAGAATCCGCTGGGGCAGACTCCCATTGTAAGAAAATTGGAATTAAAAATAATATTGGGGAATCATTTTCAAAATATTAAGATGTTATTGAAAACTTTTTATACCTTTAATTTTTTTAAAATTCTATTAGATAATTTTAAAAATATTTTTTTATGGAATCTTTTCCTTACAAAAAATATTTTTTTTTGCAAAAAAAAACTCAATTTCATCAAACCTGGCAATAATGAAGGAATGTTATTCTCCGAACTCATCTCTGCGATTAAAACGGCCCCGAATTTATCGCCAAGTCCGAGTTTTTCGATCGCGGTGAGAACGCCGGGTCCCGAAATGCCATGCACCGTGACGAGATCGGCCCACTTGGAAATCTCGAACGGTTTAGATTTCAACTGTTCTAAAGTCGTGGATCCAATATCGCCAAATTTTCGGTCCTCCATGATCAGAAAGTCGTGCTTGATAGAGAGTGCTAAATAACATAAAAACTATTAATTTTTGCACAAATTTTTGCACACATTCATCGATGCTAATCGCCAAAATAATTAAAATCGGTAGAAAGTCGTGCTTGATAGAGAGTGCTAAATAACATAAAAGCTATTAATTTTTTGCACAAATTTTTGCACACATTCAACGCAGAAATCGATGCTAATCGCCAAAAATAATCGAAATCGGTACGTTTTAAATCACTTTAAGGATTAACATGTAAATCAGAACTTCATAAATGGACAAGAAAATCGTAGCATTTCTCAATTTTTGTCAAAATCAGGACATTTTTAATCATTTCTCCGTTTCTGGGAATTTATCTTACAATTCTGGACGATAAATTTATAGAGCAAAGGTCGTTGCCAATTTTTTACAAGTGTACACTCCAGATTTTGACACTTTTTGAAGGAGATTTCAAGTTTAAGAAGCCTTCAGGAAAATTGGAACTCGTCGAAACTGGCTCAAAAAACTCAACGCCATTCCATTAATCCACTCCCTGCTCTACAAATTTGTCGTGCAGAATTTTAAAATAAGTTCCCAGAGCTAAGAAATTATTAAAAACTGCTAATTTTGACTATTTTGGTAATGAGTTATCCAGTCCTACCGTACAAACCATCCTTTCGTTGCTTTTATTACGTTTTACCAACTTCGAAATCAGTCCCTTCGAGTTTTTTTTAAACCACCCCAAAAATTAGCATTATTTCAAAAATAAAATTCAATTTTCTAAATTTGTGCACTGTAAGAATATCCAAACCCATTTTTCTTCATCTGACAACTGAATCTACATAATTTTACAAATACGTATTTATTAAAATACATGTTTTTGCAACTGGCTTTACAATCCTACATTTTTTAAGGATTTTAAGACTTTTTTGAAAACTTAAGCTTTATTTTGAATATTTTTTTGAAATCATAGCTACCTTTTAATTTTCCCCAAAATTCCGCAATAACTTTCACCCCTTTCAACCCAATCGTGTCCACGTGCGTCTTTACCATGCAGACCTTCGATCCCACCGCTTCCACCGCTTCGAGGACCTCTTCCCACCCGCCCAGATCCACCGAGAGGCACAAATTGCTGCTCTTCTTTTCCATAATTCCCACCAATTTGACCGAAAGCGGGCATTTTACCCGTGGCAAGAACTTCTTCGACACGACGTCGGCAAAGGCGGGGTCGAAGAGTTGATTTTCCGCGAGAAAAGTGACGACTTGGTCGCGTTGGCGGGAATCGATGAGACCTGTTCAAAAAAACTTTTTTTCATTCATCCCGATTTATGAGTAGAGATTTTCATTCATTTTCTTTCAAACTCATTTCATTTCACTTCACTTCATTTGACTTCATTTCTTATTGCGCCCTATGTATTAAGCATAGGGTGAGAAATGAAATGAGTGAAAATCCCTTCATTCACAGTCATTCATCTGAAATGACGGAATCTTTCAGTCATTTTCATTCACATCACAGGAAATTCATTTCCAGTCAAATCACAGGAAATTCATTTTCATTCAAATCACAGGAAATTCATTTTCATTCAAATCACAGGAAATTCATTTTCATTCACATCAAACGAAATTCATTTTCATTCATTATAATTCTCTATCATAATCAGTCAGATGAATGAAAGTGAACAGGTATGGAATCGATGAGACCTTTTCCGAGCAAAACGTTCAACAGCTGTTCCATCCGAATTAAGGCGGTAAATCCGACGCCGTTTCGAGCCAGGTGGAAGTCGGCGCCTTGACAGCGGTCCAAAATTACGATGGCGTGGTCTACTTTGAGACCAATATGGCGCAGAGCGTCGGCTGTCTCCACGACGGAGCCGCCACTCGTGACGACGTCTTCGATAAGGATGCAACGATCGCCGGGGGAGAACGATCCTTCGACCAGGTTTCCGGTGCCATAGGTTTTCTGCTCTTTCCTAAAACAAACTTATTATTTAGAAATATGCAAAATTTTCGTAAAATTTCTGGAAAAAATAATTAATGTAAGACTTAGGACTCGATGACTCATCACCAAAATCGTCAAAATCAGCACATTTTTTTATCACTTCTTGGCTCTGGGAATTTATTTTAAAAATCTGGACGACAAATTTGCCGTCAGTGAGTTGATTAATGGTATGGCGATGAGTTTTTTGAGCCAGTTTCGACGAGTTCCAATTTTTCTGAGGGCTTCTTAAACTTGAGATCTCCTCCTTCAAAAGGGGTCAAAATCTGGATTGTATATTTTAAAAAAATTAGGAACTCCCTGCTCTACAAATTTGTCGTCCAGAATTTTAAAATAAATTCCCAGAGTGGAGAAATGATCACAAATATGCTTATTTTGCGATGAGTCAACGTTAATAGATTTATTAGATTAATTTTTCCACAAATTTTAATCACATTTTATGGCAAAATTTGTGCAAAATATTTCCACCTTTTCAAAACCATTGGGACGCCTTGCGTGACGGAGACGAGGCTGGCGACGGGCAACGCGGTGTAAGGAACGCCACAAATGAGGTCCACATTTTCGGCCGCTTTATGCCGAGCGACCTCCTCGCCGACCAGATCGCTCACAGTTTTCTAGTAATTAATTAATTATTAATTAATCTAACTGTCTTCCAATTTTACGTACAATTAAATATTAAAAACATAATTATATTTAACTTTAATTAATAAACACTTTTAATTAATTAATTCATTTTTGATTAATCAAAATATGTACCAAATCGAATTTCAAGTACAATTAAATATTAAAAGTATAATTAAATTTAACTTTAATTGATAAACACTTACCAAAATCTCAGGGTAAGAAACGATAACCCTGAGGTCAAAATAAACCGGACTAACTAAGCCGGATTTTAACGTAAAACTACCAAATTTTACGCCATCCACTTTAAACAAGGAGACAATCAAACTTTCAATTTTGTTGGTATCCATTATTTCTACAGAATTATTATTTTAATTGAAAATTTATGTAAAATTTTGTAAATGTAGAAAAAAATAAACGTTTTGTTTTATTCAGTTTGAGTCTGTCCGGCGGCGGATGAATATTTTCTGTGTCTCATAAAGTCGAATGAAGGTTGAATGTTTAATGCAAGTTCATGGTTAGTTAACAAATGTATCGAATTACATTTATGTACAGTGGCCGCGTAAGCCGTGGGGACATCGGGGGACACGGTAGGATAAATAAAGGAGGCGTTTAGAAAGGAACCGTGTAGACTTTGTCCTTCAGTCCCCACGCTAATTTCTTAACCTCCCGCCCTCCTTTATCCTGCAGTATTAGTGTCCCCACATGTCCCCACGCCTTCCGCGGCCACTGATCAGCAACACTGTCCGTCAGTGTTGCTGGTCAGTGGCCGCGGAGTGTAGACATTGCCAATGTAGGATAGGCGATGGAAGAACATGGGCGTGTAATGCACCGTGCTAGCCCCTCTGTCCCTACGCTTCCGTGGCCACTGTTTGGATACATGCACGAAGAACGACTGACTATACCTCGTGAAGTTTTTACATTCCGACCTCCGGCTGGACGAGAATATGCACCTTTTTTAACTAAAAATACCATTATAAAATACCCTTATTCTTTTTTAAAAGTATCGACCACAAAACTAAAGTTGCGACAGTTAATAAGGGCGAATATGAAAAACTAGGGTCACTTTAGATGCACTATAAATATGCTAATTTCCATTACTTATACGACCTTTTTCAGCGCTTTACGTAAACATTTCTTGTGAATGTAGTCACTGACTTTAATCTTGTATAAAAAAAACTACCCCGAGATTAGATCGTAGTTATTTACATAGTTTGTGAGCCAATCTGTGCAAAATTTGTTTGCAAATTTGCTGAATTTCTGCTCAGTTGGGTTACTTTGTGTCGGATTTGTATCATCTCGGACAAAATTTGAAATATCTCTCAATGCAAGTCTTTTACGTGTACAACTCACAAGGGACACTCATGACCTGTCGTTTGAGTCCAGGGTACCCACTATGTTATTTTGAATCTACTAGGACCCCAGATGAAGGATTCATTCATATTTCCGTGTAAAACTCATATTTGGCGCCATGGCGTGGCGCCAAACTTAGAAATTTGCATTTTCGACCAATTTCAAACCCTCATAACTTTTGTAGTTTATGTCGGATTTTCAAAATTTTATGCTTAAAATGACCACAAAAGTCAAAATTTTTGAGAAAAAAATAAAAATAAAAAATTTCTAATTTTTGAGATATTTTTAGCATTTTTTCGACGAACCCCCATTTCTAAGAAAATTACGAAATTTTTCGAAAAGTTAAAAGCGATAATTTTGGAAAAAATTTCATGGAATTATGAAAGTTTAACTCCTTGTCATGATTTTTGCCAAAAATTTTTAAAATCCGTCAAGGATTTCAAAAGTTCTGGCGGTTTCAAAAATAAAAACATTCAAATTTGGCGAATTTGGCGCCACGGCATGACGCCAAATATGAGTTTTACACGGAAATATGAATGAATCCTTCATCTGGGGTCCTAGCAGATTCTAAAAAACATAGTAGCCACCCTGGACTCAAACGACAGGTCATGAGTGTCCCTTGTCAGATCTGGTTGGGACCAATTTTATTTTGTTCACCACAAAAAATAAGCATATCCGTATTTTTTCATTTTTCATAATGCGCTAATTTGAGCGCGAGGCGCGAATTTTAGAACATTTTCAGCCAAAACCTAGGTTTTTAAAAAATCTGTAAATTTTCGAATTTTGGCGCGAATCCAAAAATTCGAAAACATGTCTCTTCAGAATTGTCAGTCTTGTTTCAAGCTGAGGCAAATTGAGACAAAAGGTAGCTAAAGGGAATTCTTCAGTCGGGGTAATGTAACACAGTTTATTTCTCAAGGTCATAAATTCACACTTTGTAATTGAAAATTTTTTGATAAATAGAGATGCAAAATTATTTTCAGCTTGAAAATCTCAAGCTGAATTTATTTAAGATTGAGGCGAATTGAGACATCGGAGTAAACACGGGCAAAATTTACACAATCTCATTTTTCCAGTGAGAATAGAATAAAATGCACGTTTTAAAAGCATTATTTTTGCGAAACCGTTTTTTTAATAATTTACAGAAATTAGTCGGGTGCACAATTTTAGATTAGCAATGATTGATAAAAAAAGTAAATCTGTTCATCGCAAAAACATTTGTGGGACTTCAACACCTGTATTTGAAATTTTGCAAAAAATAATGTACTTAGTAAATTTTAGATCTAATGGTAATTTGCGCAAGTTTTAATACAAAAAGTGTTGTTATATTTGTGCAGTTCTGCAAAAAATTAAGCAAGTAGGTCTATTTTCAAATTGTGGGTGGTTTTAACCAGTTTTATTTTTTAGATATAAGCTAAAATATTCTAATTAATGTATAATGCTTACTTATAAGCAAAATATGCCAAATTTTCGAATTTTTTTTAAATTTAATTTTTTACCAAAACTCGGCCGACTTTTTATATCTTTTTTACTCTAAAAAAACTGACGTTTTCTCCGGATGTAGCAGAAGAATGAGATGACGGCGGTGACCATGGCGAGTGCGAAGAACACGATCAGGAGCCACGTGCTCAGTGTGGACGCCTCGTTTTCTCCCAAAGCACTTTCACCATCGCCATTTTCTCCAATACTTTCTCCCGGGTATCTTGCACCACCTGCGTCACATACAAATCGTGATAAATTCATATTTTGATTTCTGTGTGGTTTCATTTTCTTTTAAGTTTTGCTAAGAAGCATACACTCAAAATAAGGTAGTAATGAATCATTACCATGCAGAATCACTATATGTCTCTACCACTTCGGTTACGATTTGTCGTAGAAATAGTAATAATAAGTTCAGGGAAATTCAAATTCATTACCAAATATTAAGGAAGTGAATACCATTATGTATTAAATTTGAATTTCCCTGAACTTATTATTACCATTTCTACGACAAATCGTAACCGAAGTGGTAGAGACACATAGTGATTCCGCATGGTAATGATTCATTACTACCTTATTTTGAGTGTATAAGGGAACGACATGGCACCCAAAATTGAGTCGATTACATATTACTGGGTAATCATCGAAGGATATTTCTTCTATACAGGATAAATTTATTTAGCTCGTGGCATGCTCAGATTTATATATTGTTTACCCTCAGGTAAAAATATACCACAAATTGTATCACGTATTTATTTATGTATCTATCGAATTAGCAAATGTATAGTATACGAAATTTAATGGGGTACAAAGATATACGAGTGAAACATTGACACATTTTAATGTCGAACTGAATTTTATTTGAAAATTTAATTGGAATTTGCAGCTCTCAGATACCTCCCTGGACCGAAAGTATTCACATATTGCTCGGTATCGAAGTTGCTACCGCTTGGTATTACAATTCTACCGATCGGTAAAATTTTGCTACCGTTAATACGAAGCTATTACTTGCACCCAAAAAAACACTGATTGTTGTAGCCAGTCCGTAATAAAATATCTTTACCAAGTCGGCGTTAAGCTTAATCTTTTAAATGCAATATTTTTTGTCGTTACTGTGACTGGTGGTGGCCTGAGGGGGAAATTTTTGTGTTGCTATGGAGATTTTTTTATGTTGCTAAGGAGATCTTTTTTATGTTGCTAGGGAGATCTTTTTTATGTTGCTAAGGAATTTTTTTAAGTTGTTAGGGAAATTTTTTTTATGTTGGTAGGGAAATTTTTGAACCCTAAATAAATTGATAACCCTGATGAATGATGAATAAGTTATTGGCCAAAAATAATACAGGTAGCAAAAATGGTTTCTTTCTGATTTTTCACTACACAGGAGGTACTTTAATAAACTACAGATTTTCACATTGCAAAAAAATGCGAATTAAGCGATGCATATGCAAAGAATTAATCACACGTTCGGTTTTTACCCTTTTACGTAGCGACGGATCAATTTATCTGAAGGGTTGTTTTTTAAATTAAACAAAATTCCTAAATTGCGAATTGGCGTTTAAACGGTGAACCTGCAAAAAAGCATTGGAAATTATTTACAAACTACAAACTTTATCTTTTGGGTGGACATCATGTGTTTAAAAAATTCGTATGCAAATATGGAAAAATGTGATGTGCAGAATATGCATCGTTGTCGCAAATAATTTTTAGCAATAGTTTTTAACAAGTTAGTTTGTACATAAAACTTGGGTACAGAATTACTTGAATGATTTTCTTGAGGAATTTTAATTGATTAATTTGCAACTGAGCAAAAAAAGCACGAACTTACGTATGTGCAGACTTACATTAAGTTCGGCTGGGATTCGCATCCAGCTTTTTTCCTGGGACTGTTTGTATTCGATCAAACTTGAATCGGAGAATGGGCAGCCGGCGTCCTTCCAAAGGTCCAGACGCACCACGATCGTCGACTGGTTCGAAAGAAGGCCTTCCTCCTTCTTGGGCGATATTGGGGCTGCAAATTTTTACAGAATTTTACGAAATCATGAAAATTTTTTTGCATTTTTCAAAGGAACGAAATTAACAAAAATTATTAGATATGTTGAAAATTTGTAACTTGCTAAAAACTATATTAAGAAAATTTTAGGAAATTTTGAAAATTATCAAGTATGCTCAAAATAAGTTGTTAAAAAAATTAAAAAGTACCGAGGAAAAATTGCGAAATTGCAAAAAAAACTCGACCAAAATTTGATTATGAATTTTATTTCTTGCTGAAGTTCAATTTTGTCATAATTTATGCTTAATTAAGAACAAGATAAGTATAATTTTATTCAAAAATACCGTACTTTTAGCTTCATTACTCAAAAAGTTATTTGTTGGATTCTTCTAAACTTTTTGCTTCTACTTTTTCATAAAAAGTTATGCATTAAAAAATCATATAAAAAAGATAAAATCAATAATTTGCAAAAATGTCGAATATCCATATCTTGCAAATATATATGCAGAAATATTTCTAAACTATTGTGTTTATGATATAACGCAAAAATATTTAAAATTTTTTGCTGATCAAAGTACAAAGTTTGTCTAACAAAACGTCTGAAATAAATATTTATGGAAATTATGTATATTTAAATTCTGAACAGATGAATCTTCGGTTGAATAACGAAATGTATGGTTTTCA